GTTTTGCAAAGTCACCGTTTGGAAAAACTTTCAATGAAAAGAGCTTTCCTTTTGGTTAACATTATGAAGCGCTTATGGTCTGGAATGTACAGTGTCATTTCTCCCAGTAGAAAATGTATTGTTTTGTGTGTACCAGGACCATGTTCTACTAATAAACAGTCTGTGTTTGGGTTCAAATGAACTAAATGAGAATAAAAGGGATAAGAGAGGTACAATTTGGAAATTAATAAAGGATTTTGGCATAAGACATTACACACAACATTTTATTTTTATTGAGTTTTGTGCATAATAAAAAATGTATCCAACAATGAATTCAAACGCAAAAAATCTCAATTTTTTTCAAGCCTGCAGGGCATTGATCAGATGTCTTCTTGGAAAACATGAAACAAGGAGCCTTAAAGTAAGCAATGTCAATCAAATCTGCTTGTAAAGGAGAGATACACACCCCTAGAAATAAAGTATGTTTTAAAAAACAATGTATAGGTTCCTATCAGTACAGTGATTGCCCTTCCAATAAAGTGACACATTAAGGATAGATGTCTACTAAATACTGTTTGTTGGTTGATCACAGATTATGACATTAAGGGATGCATATCACAACAGATCAGCCCAGTGACTCAGTATTCCAGATTATTTTGCACATTTCTTAAATGTGTTTTGTAAGAGTAAACATGTTTCTAAAACCTCCTGTCTTATAACTGTTTAACGTCTGTTGCTCAACCTGCACAGTTACACAAACACGAGAAGTTCTCCTTCAGCTCTCACTTGTTTATTTGTGTTTTTCCCCCTTTGTATAAAAATAAAAAACCTGCATCCCCTCTCTTTGCATCTGGCGAAGTGATGTTAATAGTCTTATAATAGCTAATGGATTGTTCTCATAGTTTATTCAGTGCATCCTCCTGCCTCTCCATTGTCTTTGGCATCTGGGAAGCTGCTTAAGAGGCGCCAGTAAAAGCTTAGGTAAACTGTTGTGTCTGATGGGTTTTTTTTTTTTAACACTAATGGATGAACAAATATTCACATGAATGATATAGCTCAATATATATTTTTTGCATGCTTACCTGTAGTTTATAGATAGTTTACTTTGGGGCACTCACAATAAGTCATAATGTCACATGATATATCAGATATTATCTACAGCCACTTACAAGCGCTTCCAGTTACACTTGTTGCTTAAATAAACATTAAAAGCCGAGAATAAAGAGGGAAGGTGGAGGGGTCAGGAGGGGTCACAATTAGGTTAAGTGCACACAAACTCAATTTGAGGTGTTTTCTAATGAGCACTGATCTCATTACTTTCACATGAACACTCCTCTGCTCTGTTCTTTAGAAAATTGCACACAACCACACACTCCTTTGCTGACTGATCCTGCCCGAGAAAAAGGAAGGAAATGTTTGCTTATGCACAGTCATCTGATGACCAGCACAGTGTTTCCTGCTCTAATGACCTTCTGTCCAAAGTGTAATCCCACTGTGTGTAAGGTATGAATGAAGCATTCATAGTGAACTTTTGAGAGGCAGGACTAGTGATTAGGGTTTTTTTTCTGTTTGTGGCCTGCAGATTATTTGCCAGCAGAGAGAGAGAGATCTGCAGCCAAGGACAAGATCAACCCAAATACCAACATGGTAATCTGTGTACAGACATAACACAGGGCTGGTGTCACAGTGTAACTGGGAACCCTAGCTGAATCATGTTACTACATGGTCACTTGCTGCCATCTGCTGGAGAGAACCTGAACTACATTTTATTTTAGGATTTCTTGCATTTATTTATGTTTTTAGATGTGTAGATTGTAAATTATATTCTATTAACTGTAGATTAAATCTGTGAGTGAATTGGGAGTCAACACCTAGTGGACTGGTGCCGTAACTTTAATCTGGCACACAACGTCAACAAATGATTGTCAAGTTCAGGAGGTCAAAGTCACACCGAGCACACACAGTCTAACATCAGGAGCCCAACGGTGGAGAGAGGTGAGAACTTCAAGTTTGAGTGCAGATCTCAGTCAACCTCACCTGATCAAAGAACCCCAATGGGATTGTCAAACAGGCCCAGCAGAGTCCGCACTGCAAACCTATTTCTAAGTCAGTTTAACAGATATTTAAATTCATACTTACTGACTTGTAAATGTAAGAAAACACTCAGAAAACAGACAAAATTTACACAAGTTGAGGAGACTGGAGCAGTAAGGGGGCGTGCTGTTTACAGCCGGTGCTTCTGGTTTATGATGTCACAAATTAAACAAATAATTTCACAACGCAACCATCATTAAAGTTGTTAGATACCTTGAAGTGTTGTAGTACTCGAAATCGGTCGAGAGTGGTCAAGAGACCAGTTTTTTTTTTACATATACACTTTATTGCAGGCTGTTTTACTTCATTACAAGTTGTCATATTTCATCACAAATTTTGTTCATCCTGGCACATTTTTATATATAATTATTTTTTTTAAACATACAAAAATACATACAAGGATACAGCATGAAATAAAATAAAAATAGATAAAAATCCAAAGAAAAGGTACGAAGAGAGAAAAGATAATTAAATTAAGATTTAGAGAAGAAAAAATAATACTAATAATGAGAAAAATAAAAGGGGGGGGTGGGGGGGGTTTCCTTCACCACTTTTTGAAGGTCTCGGTCTTGCTTCGGAATCTAAATGATTTTTACTCGGTCTTGTCTCGGTCTCGGATCAGGGCAGACTCTGGATCTTGATTTTAAATCAAGACCACCACAGATGGACTATTTCTCCAAGTCATTCCTGTAATTAGAAGGAAAACGCCCCTTTCTAAAAGAACAAAAAACTTAAATTCAGTTTGATTTTTATAACCCGTTTAAGGTCTTAACCTTCTCAGTGTAATGGTCTAAATGAGAATGACATGCCCACAGCCCACAAGATGATGACTCATTGATATGTAGGTCTTGGAGTCTTGGAGCACTTTGGTCTCGGGTATGTCTTGGTCCGTTTGTGTGGTCTTGACTGCAACACTATACCTTAAAATAAAATTTAAAATACTGATACAACTACGTACAATTTAAATAGAGTTGACAGAGTTGTATATTGCAATAGGCCCACTCTTCTTTAACCAGCAGAGGGCGCTATCGTCGTCTGGCTTTTCTTGTTTGATGTCAGTATCTGAAGCAGCAGCACTAATCAGTGTCACTTCTTATAAAGAAATATAAACATTGTTTAATCAGTAACTATACAAACTACGTATTAAAAAGTGGCTGCCTGTTAGTTTTCGTGTTGATTTTAAAATTATTTTATTAGTTTATAAAGCACTACATGACCTTGCACCAGACTACCTATCAGATATGATTTTTATCCTACTACAATTTCAAATATTTTCCTCTTGTGTATTTATTTTAATATCTTGTTGCTTTTATGTGTCGTATTTTATTTTATTTTATTTGTATACATATTTTTTTAATTGTTATTGGTGTGCATTAGTCTCTCAATGATTTTATCAATGATTTTATAAACTACTTTTTGTCAATAACTTTTCTGCACTCTTGTTAAGCACTTTGAACTGCAATTTAATTTGTCTTGTCTGAAAGGTGCTATATAAATAAAGTTTATTTGATTGAAAGTTGATTGATTGATTGATTGATTGATATATTCATAACGAAAAATAGGGAACATTTATATTTTGAAATTAAAATAAAGGCATCATAAATATTCATAAACTGACTTTATTTTGTGTAAACATTTTAGAAGCTGTTGTGGATTTTTCTGTTGGTAATGAAAGATCTCAAGTCAAAGTCTTTTGTCTTTGTCTATTTTATTGCATATAGTAAAAAGTTATTTTGCAAAAGGGGTAATCAGCTACAAAAGTAACATCAGTCACAAGTGCATCAAAGAGTCCCGGGGCAGTCCAGGTTGCAGAGCATATTTATACTTTCACAGGTTTAGGTATTTTACATATACATGAGTGATACATCGTCATTGGTTTCAGCTTGCCCTAGTGACTACGCCCTCTGCTAGTTTGCCTGGTGATTTATCTATGCAAGCTTCTATAAGGCACCTGGTACGGAGGAACAGCAACAGAAACTCCTTTGTCAGGAAGGCACTGATCTAAGATCATGCTGTACCCAGATCCTGAGGAGCGTACTGTTGGAGATACAGACCAAGGCCATACACAGAAACAGTTTCTAATTGCTAAATGACGCACGAACATCCTCATCTTTTAAGGTCAAACGAAGGCAACAGACAGATGGTATTTTTCCACTACAAAGTGTAAAAAGAAAAAAAATGATAGAATTGTAACATGAGGACAGTTATGTTATATTTGGAGTTGAGTGTATTGTTACATTCTTAGTTCAAACAGTAAACACAAACAATGGCCACAAACAATTTCAACCCAACCAATGACATCAACAGATTTAAAAAATAAAATAAAAAGATTTTTCTGTAAGAAAAGCAGACTGCAGCATTGCTTGAGTCAAATAGGTCGGTGATAAACACCACTGATATCATTCACTCTCCCTGTTTGTTGTTGTTGTTGTTGTTGTTGTTGTTGTTGTTGTTGGTGCTTGATGAACTCTTGATTTCATCTCCATTTATTAACTCTACAAACTAACTCTACCAATTAGCCTACACATTTCCATTATCTCTGTAGGCCTATCTTGTTAAGTAACAAGTCAAAGGTTATAAAATAAATTTAAAAGACCATTTTTTAAATAGGCTAGAGTTTATATCTTTCTTTTTTTTGTATCTTTCAAATGTTTAAACCCTGTATTAACTGTATCAGTTCATTATCCTGCATGTTGGTGTCTGTTATTAAGGATCAGGATATTTATCTGCCAACTAACTCTTGTTAGAAACTTTAGCCCAGAAATGTGTCAGAAGCGGACTCCCCTTCCACCGGCTCATCCCGTATTAGTAATCGAACAATCCCAAACAGAGGGGCGGAACTACACTCATAGCTGACCAATCAGTGTTCTCCGACAGAATTGTAGTCGAAGCCGATTGGCTGACAACCAAGCCTTACAAATACTATTATTTACTGACACTTCCGCATTTCTCACCGACGCTCTTTAATAATCAAGCTCGCTGGCTGAACCTGAGATTAAAGATTTGTTTTCAGGTGTTGTGTTAAACTACCGATATTAAAGTGAGATGCAGGGCTTAAGGTAAGAACTTCTTACATTCATGAACATACTACAGCTGTCTTTTTACAATTATGTCATTTTAAAATTACTCCAGCTCGTCATAATCACTTTATTTAAACAAGTTTGTAGTTTTACAATTACTCTCAGTTTTTTTCTTTTCCAAAGTCGAGTCTCTAAAAGTGTGATTTATATTTTCAGTATTTGCATTGTCATTGTTCTTAACACACCCTTTCTGCCTGTTGACTCACATATTTCTCAATAACCCAGAAATGTGTTCCGGTGCGCCTGGTCCTCTGCTGAGAGGCTGGATGGGAAAACTGTGGTCATCACTGGTGCCAACACGGGGATTGGTAAAGAGACAGCCATAGACCTGGCGAAGAGAGGTTGGTCCCACTTAAAACTGTTACTAACTTGTCTTTTTCTGGATTTATTCTTCACAATTTCCCACTGTCCAAAGTGACAACCCCAAAACCTGAAAACCCTTAAAGAGGCTCATCATAAATTACAAGGATAGTCAGAAAATCTTTAAACTTAAGAAGCAAAACATGAAAAGTGACTGAATCTATTATCCAGCTATTAAGTTTGATGACATTGTGATGAACTAATTGTTTAATGGATTAATTCACTGGTTCCCAAAGTAAGGATCGAGGCCCCCCGGTGGGGTCCAGAGCCACCAAGAGGTAGGGTCACAACAAGATGCCTTACAAGAAACGAATACAAATTTAAAATCCTTTAAAATGTTACAGTTTAACCTTTATTCAAAATGTAAACAAAAAGTAGTTCAATCACAAATAAAAGCACATCATTCATGATATTAGAAATTAAAGTAATAAGTAAAAATACTTCAAATGTAAGTTTGCATATGACAGCAATCCTTATGAAACAATTATATGTTTTATTTTATGTTGTTTCATTCTTTTGTGATACAGTGTTACAGTAGGCATAATGTGTGTGTGTGTGTGTGTGTGTGTGTGTGTGTGTGTGCACCCATTATATGCACTATTTAGGGGGTATCGGGCTAAAAATGTTGGGAAACCTCGGACTAATTGACGCCTCTGTAGTCTTCCTCACATCAATTCAAACATAAAGCACCTAAATATTGGTTTGTTTGTTTTTTGCTTTGTCATGCTGAGATGAGTAATTCATTGCTGTTTGTTGGTTTGACTGGTCCAAAATGGGAGGGGTCATATTTGACAGTGTTGTGGTGATAATAATTGGTTATTTTTTACTGCTTATGACTTGCTATTAAATTCATTATTGTAGTCAGGAGGGGGTGCTGTAAGTGGATATTCAACATCTGCATATTTACATGGACGATTCTTATGCTGTGTTACTTTAGTGTTGTTTGCCTTTTCTGTCTAGGGGCAAAGGTCATCATGGCGTGCCGGGATGCAGAGAGAGGGCAGGCGGCTGTGAAGGAAGTCGTCGAGGGCTCAGGGAACCAAAATATCGTTTTCATGAAACTGGACTTGGCGGACTCCAAGTCCATCAGAGAGTTTGCTGAAGCCGTCAACAAAGGTTTGAATCAGCTTGTTCCCCGAAAAAAAGAAAAATCCACATAAATGTGACTAAAGCGACACTATTTCACGTCTTGTGTTTGTTTCCACAGACGAGCCAAAGCTGGACATCCTCATCAACAACGCTGGTGTGATGGTCTGTCCTTATGGGAAGACGGCAGATGGATTTGAGATGCAGTTCGGTGTCAATCATCTGGGTAAATAAGACTCAATGGTTTCTCTTTACATCATTTCTACTAGTTTGTTTTATATTTGACACCTAAATAGTTTTATTATGATGTCCTGTTCATGTGAAGTATTTTATCTGAGTCTTTCTTGTATTTTGCACAAACTTATAGAAGACAAGCCTCTAAGTGGGAACTGATAGGGCATTCAAATTATTCTTGTATGTACAAAAACAAACTATGTTCAGGCAATGCAAATATTCAAACATAACTAAAAGGCCTCATTGTTTTTTAAGCCAAAAGCTTGGCCCACTGAACGTCTCGTCTTCATACAACTTTAAAAGCAGATACATAATACTAAAAGGTCCACTAGGGGGCAGACAGTTATTCTCTCTGAAGTGGGACACCTGTTTTGTCTTTTTAGAAGTTCTTACATCGTCATAAATCTTCATTTTTTATTTAATTAAATGTATCCGGGGTACGTTGGGTAAATGGGTAGCTTTTGCAAATTACACAAATGTTTTTCCTCATGGCAGAGTCATACACAGGAATGAACGATTTCTGTGTGTTTCCAAAGCTTAGAAAACTATTTGTAAACACATTGACTTTGCACAGTGATCACTCTAAATGACTCGTAACACTGTGGTGCAGCGCTATCTTTATGTTGCTATTATTAGCCTCACTTAATGCCTGATAAGAAAAGTAAAGGTAAATATCTGCCTGCACACATCAGAACACGTGACCACGCTTATATTTGCAGACCAAAAGATTTAAAGACACTTTCAAGAACTTCCTTCCTCACATGTTGCGACTGAGTCAAATCAATACTTTTAAATATAACTACATCATATAACATTTTTAAAAGTATACTAGGAATGCATAATAACCTCAAAACTGTCCATATCATAATCACGTATAGATAATGAAAATATTTTATAACAAGTGTTGTTACATTTTGTATAAACTAAAAGCTAAACCTTGATTTAGCCTTCTGTTTATTATCATCATTCAACACGTTACAACACGTATCTGTTGTCGTCTAGATGTGGTTGAGGATATAAAGCGCCCTTCTGTAAAGTTTGTTCAGCTCAGAAATGTAAAATAATAAACGTGCTTTTCATATGTTACTCTGAATTGAAATATCAACGTCTTTTCTCCAGGTCACTTCTTGTTGACATATCTGCTGCTTGACCTGATCAAGAAGTCAGCACCAGCCAGGATCATCACTGTTTCCTCCTTGGCTCACAGCTGGGGCTCCATGAAACTCGATGACCTCAACAGCGAGAAGAAATACGACAAGAACGCTGCGTACTCTCAGAGCAAGCTCGCCAACGTCCTCTTCAGCCACTCCCTGGCCAAGCGACTAGAAGGTAAACATTGAATATTCATGTCAAGCATTAAAAGAATAAATCTTCTAAACTGAATGTGAAGTTACATTTTTGTTCTATTGTTCACTAATGATTAATTCTGTTTTTGTCTTTAAGGCACAGGTGTCACGACATATTCCCTCCATCCCGGAGTCGTCAAGACGGATTTATGGCGTCATCTGAATGGCCCTCAGCAGGTTCTCATGAAGATGGCCAGTCCTTTCACCAAAAACTCGTCCCAGGGTGCTCAGACGTCCATCTACTGTGCGGTGGAGCCATCACTGGAGAAAGAGAGCGGTGGATACTACAGGTACACAGAATATTTGAACATACTCTGTGCAGGAAAATAGTGACGGGTCCAACACTTGGGATTGATAAATTGCAATCACTGGCCTGATGTGCTCTAAAGACACAAAAAGAAGATAGGAGGGAAACTTTTTGTGGGTCATTTTAGCTGTCTAGTTCAGGGTTTCCCAAACTTTTCATCCTCCGACCCTCAAAATAAAGGTACTGGAGACTGTGAACCTCAAAAATACAATTTTGTGTTTTTGGAGGGTATCTTGCAACCCCCTCGTATTGTCTCGCGACCCCCCAGGGTTTCCCGATCCCCACTTTGGGAACCACTGGTCTAGTTACAGTTGTCTCACAGGAACTGGAATAACTGCTATGTGGCTTTGTTGCTAAATACGGGTGGATGTAGGGGGTTTCCATTGTGTTGTGAAAGCCACTGATCTTGTGAAATGTAAACATACAAAAACGGCCCACAGAATGACCCTTATCCACAAAATGTGAAATGGTCCAAGGAATGACTTGCTGTTTTGGTTCCTCTAAATGGCAACACATTGGCTTTCATTCATACCAAATCTCCCATTATGTGTGTTAGAGCTGTTAAATTTGTTAGCGTCTGTTTGTGCCATGTTTTAGCCATTTTTGCACCATTATTAAGGACACGTTATAAAAAGTAAAACTTATTTTTTGGCTGTTCAACATTATGTCTGTGTACCTACCATAATTCACTGCTATACGAGTTGTATGTCTGAGGATTTTGAGCCTTGAAAATGGCTAACCCCTTAAAATGATTTGTAAGAGAGCAGAATTATCAACATTCCCAGTGGTGGAAAAATGGCCTGTCCTTATACATGATCCCTCCCAGTTGAAATGGCATATAAATAAAGTGATAAAGCACAGAGAAACTGAATCCTGAACTAAGTTGGTATGTGATTTTTTTTTTTGCAGCGACTGCGCTCCTGCTAAATGCTCATCAGAGGGCAAAGACGACGTGGTGGCACAGAAGTTGTGGGAGTTGAGCTGCCAGTTGCTGTCGATAACTTGGGAATGAGGCGGCCTGCATGAAATACACAATGCTTCACTCAACAGATGGCGGAATGTCTTTACTTACTGATGCAGTAAATCTTCTTTTCTAAGAATTAATGTGAACTATTAACACATTTAGAACCAACATACTAACAAAGTATACATATATATGTGAAACTTTACAACTCCGATTGAGAGATAATCTGAATCAAACACTTTTCTATCTATTTGTCTGAATGCTTTGTGGTGGATTTTTAGGTATAATTGTGGAATCACTCTGAGAAAAAGATTTTGTAATGAGTTAGACTAGAGTTATGTACATGGTAAATGTCTCCAATGTCGGTATATTTTCTTATTAAGTATTACTTAAAGAACCAAGTTGGCACCAGCTGCCCCTCCTCCAGAGAAACCTTAGGACCTAACCTCCTTTTTGAACTACAGAAATAAATACTACCTTGAATAACTTTATTACCACCGTGTGATCTCCGGTTGACTCCGGTTGAAGTCAATAAAACAAAGAAAACCAATTGTTGTTTTGTATTCTGCTTCATACAGTGTCCTCTTTAACTACACCAAAGTATTCATTCTAAAACTGAATCTTTGAATATGAGACCATTTTGATTGGTTGGATATAAAAGGCCCCCAAAAAAAACTGTAGAAAAAAAAAAGAATCACAATACCTTTGTGTGCATTAAAAGCCCAACAAACGTCATGTTTAATATTGTTTTTAAGGCTTTGCATAATGGGTTAAGAGGTAGCTTCAACAACACTGCTTATGAACATTGCTGCATTGTTTTGGAAAATAAACTGAGTATGTATTGGATGGATAGAACATCTCTTTTCATGTCTTTGTTCAGGTTATAATAGGGTTCATCTTTTAATGTCTGCCGTCAGCTTTTCTACCGGTTATCTAAAACACAAAGTTAATGGAATGTAAATGCAAGTCACAATGGTACTTATTGAAGTCATGACACTGATACCAATGAAACTTTGTCTACTTCTGAATAATGGCGGCTGTATAGCTACCTTCAATAACAGGAGACCAGAGTCGCCCCATTGTTCGATAAGGGTATTCATGTACTTATTAAACGCTGTCTAATCATTTTGCAAGCCGCCATAAATGTGTGCACTGAAGTCCTTCATCTCCATGGCCACGTATACAATTAATCATTAATCTTTAATCAACATCAAGAAGCAGACTATAAGAATTAACAAGTCCTGTGGTGATACCATCACGGAGGGAAAGGAGAACAGTATGGATGTTAGGATGCACTGGTGTGAGGCTAAACTGGACTAATTACATTATTTTAAAAGGATGCTAAACACAAACTGTGTCTGGATGTGAAGTCTAAGACAGAATGATGCTGGGATGGTGGTGCAGTCAAGATTTATGATTCTGTTCCTTCGAAGTGGTGTTTAGTCAGGATGGAAGAATCTGAAGATGGTATCGCCGTGGTCGGCCTCGGATGCAATTTTCCGGGGGGTAGGTCATTTCAATTTGGTTTGCTTTGTTTGTATGCTAATCTTTATTTTAGGAAATTTGACTTTTGACTACAGATTTTCTTTCTATTGCAATGTTGATCCAGATAATCAAACAATATTGAACAAATTAAGGAAATTGAATACAAAAACTACCAATAATAAACACATCATTTCAACAAAGATCAGTAATTTCTGAAATAAACACATAAAGCTGATTAATCAAGACAAACCACTTTTTAAAAGTGGACTCCTGGTTATGATCAAAGGATGTTTTCATGATTATAGGTACAGAAAAGCTGACTGTTCATATATATACATACTCCCTTTTTCATCATAGCTTTATGTTTGCAAATCTGGGAAATTGTGATATTATAAAATACCACATACTAACTAGAAGCATTGTTCTACCCACCTCCAACAACCTATAATTCAAAGCACCATGTGTATCTTTGCAAACAGGGGAAGGACTTGACAACTTCTGGAAGGTTCTGGTTGAAGGGAGAAACTGTTCTATGCCGATTCCCAGAGAGAGATTTAACTTAGCCAAGTGGTACGACCCTGATGACAACAAAGCGGGTAAATCCTGTACAGCCAAGGCCGCTCTTATTGACGGGTATGCTCTTTAAACCTCATTATAAAACCTATAAATGAGGCCTACTCATGTGTTTGAGAATGTGTATTCATAGATATTATTATTATTATCTTATGTTTTTGCAGTACCACATACAGTATGTTAATATATTTTCCTTTCCTTTAAGTTCTTTCTTTTAGATTTTTCTCTTTAATACGGGCCCTCTCTTTTTAAATCTCAGCTCTGGACTAACTTACATTTAACATACTTCAAACAAACCAAAGTGTTGTGCAGAAAGAGGCCTTTTTATGTATTTTTATGCCTCTTACAGTGTACATGCTCAACCAGAACTGAGCCAATTGACGGTGCTTTTCATCACATTTATGATTTTCACAACTCTTAAAATGAACAGGTAAAGCTATGTTGAATCAGGCCAATAAAAAGGAACCTAATGATTGTGAATCCTTTTAGGTTCAATAAATTTGACCACAAGTTTTTCGGAATCAGTGATAATGAAGTGGAACAAATGGATCCTCAACAAAAACAGCTTCTTCAGTGTGTCTACAGAGCTTTAGAAAATGCTGGAGTCCCAATGGAGAAGGCCAGTGGGACCAGGACAGGAGTCTTCATTGGTATGTCAGTAAAATTATGGTACCAGTGGCATACGATTTAAATTTCCATGATATTTTTACAACTCTTCTTTCACAATCTGTCTGCATTACCTTCATACAATAATTTTATTTCAGGCCTGATGAACAGAGATTATGAAACAAATGCTGCTCATGTGCATCCAAGTGTTATCAACCACTGGACTGGCACAGGGCTTGCCATGAGTATTGCAGCAAACAGAGTCTCGTACATCTTCAACTTCACTGGGCCTTCACTGTCCATAGACTGTGCCTGCTCATCATCTCTCGTGGCCCTTCATCTTGCCTGTCAATCCATTAAACAAGGTCTTTTAAGCATGTCTTCTTAAAGTCAGTGATGTTAAGACCAACCTGTAATGTCGCAGCAATTTAATTTGAAGTATACATGTTAAAGGGGGATTTAAGTATTGAGTTTGTAATGGTGAAATATGCTTTATCTTGTTAGGTGATTGTGACATGGCTCTGTGTGGAGGAGTCAACTGTATAATCGAGCCAAGAGTGTTTGTTGCTCTGAGCAAGGCCAAGATGATCTCACCTGAGGGGACCAGCAAACCATTCTCCAACAGAGCAAATGGTTATGGTAGAGGGGAGGGCTGTGGTGTAGTTCTACTGAAGCCATTAAAAAAGGTCAGAATCCAAATAAATAAAAGTGCAACAACATTATACAAACTACATAATTGACTTAGTACAATAATAAACATTTTTATCTCTTGTATACTGAACCCGAATGGACCCATACATGTTTCACTAGCCAGCATGTTCCTTCCAACTGTTAAACATGCTTGTCCCAAGCAATGCTCTACAAATCCAAAACATTTTTCATAGAATTTGGACTAGGACTTCATGGTTGTTTGTTTCTTTATTATAGTCATCTTGTTTTTTTCGCAGGCCATTCAAGACCATGACCATATCTGGGGGATCATCAGCAAAACAGCAGTCAACCAAGATGGACGCTCACTAACACCAATCACCAAACCCTCCATGTCACAACAAGAAGAACTCCTACGCAGAATCTACTCAGAGTCTGACCTCGCAAATGTCCAGTACATAGAGGCACATGGGACTGGAACGCCAGTTGGAGACCCAACAGAGGCAGGAAGCATCTCAAAAGTTATAGCCAAAGCAAAACCTCCTGGTGCAGAGACACTCTGGATTGGCTCTGTGAAGGGCAATATTGGACATACAGAATCTGCTGCTGGAGTAGCCGGACTAATTAAAGTTCTCCTTATGATGAAGCATGAGACCATTGTTCCCACAGTTTTCTTCACTGAAGAGACTGCCAGTGTGGATGTCAAAGCACTGAACATTAAGGTTCCTAAGGAAGCGGTAAAGTGGGAAGCCTCTGGTGCAAGGATGGCTGGAGTGAACAACTTTGGCTTTGGGGGTACAAATGCACATGCTATTGTCAGACAGCACAAACAAACATGGATCAAGCATAAGAATGTTGCAAAACAAACTAAATATTTTGTCTTGTCAGCAAATTCCCCCAAATCTCTTACTCTGTTAATGGAAGACACCATTAAAGAGCTGGAAGCAGATAGCACAGTTGATCTGGATTCTCTGTTGTACACGTCAGCTTGTAGGAGGAGCCATCTAAAACATAAATACAGGAAGGCCATTGTGGTTTCATCTGTAGTTGATCTTAAACAGAAGTTAAATGCAGCTGCAGGCAAATATGTTAGCCAATCCTACTCAGATCCAAGGTTAGTATTTGTTTTTTGTGGAAATGGTGTCACTTACTATGGAATGTGCAAACAGCTACTAAAACATGAACCTGCATTCAGGGATAAGGTTAGAGAAATTTCAAACCTTTTCCAAAGTCTGAGTAAGCTCAATGTATTGGACAGACTTGAGAGTGAGTTTGAGGGAAGTGACTTTACAAATCCAGATGTTGTCCAACCACTCCTCTTTACTATCCAAGTCGCGATTACCAGCTTGCTCAGAGACTGGGGTGTCAAGCCAGATGTGATTCTTGGACACTCAGTAGGCGAGGTTGCAGCTGCCCACTGTTCTGGCCTCTTGTCTCTTGAGGATGCCGTAAAAGTTATCTATGTCCGCAGCACTCTCCAGAGCAAAATCACCGGGGGGAAGATGCTTGTGATCAGCAACATGGCTACATCAGAGGTCACTTCTCTTCTCCCACACTACTCTGGTAGAGTTTGCCTTGCTGCTATAAACAGCCCACTGTCTTGTACCCTCTCAGGTGATGTCGTTGCAATCGAAAGCCTCCATAAGGAGCTAAGCACCTCAGCCAACAGTGAAAATATTTTCCTATGTTTGCTGGATGTACCTGCTGCTTACCACAGCTGCACGATGGACCAAATTCTGACAGAAGTTGAGGATAAAATTGGATCCTTACATGTGAATGGTCTTGACACAGAGTTATTTTCAACAGTGACAGGCAAGGAAGTCCAACAGGGTGATTTCTGCACTGGAGAATACTGGGCTAGAAACATTCGCAAGCCAGTAGCTTTTGAGCAGGCAGTGAGATCAGCAGCAAAAGGACAGAAGAATACAGTCTTTGTGGAGATAGGACCAAGAAGGGCTCTGCAAAGAAATATAATGGAAACTTTGGGTCACGACACAGCTGTTCTTGCATCTGTGCAGCCAGAGAAAGATCATGAAACATTAACATCTGTTGTTTCTAAACTCTTCGAACTGGGTGTCCATGTAAATTGGGACACCTTCTACAAGAGATTTGAGACAATCCCTCTGCCTATTCCGCAATACCAGTTTGATTGCTCAGACAGAGATATAATCATTGCAGCAGCACAGAAAAACACTAGTAATCATCCTGTGCTCTTTCAGACAGGAAGTGAAAGCAATGTTTTCAGCTGTGACCTGACGTCTGACTCTTTCTACCTGAAAGAACACAAGCACAATGGTATACCAATCATCCCTGGTGCCTTCTATGTGGAATTGGGTTTAGCCGCGTTCATGGCCAGTACCAAACCAAAAGTACCCCTTAGCTCAGTACATCTCAGCGTTGGTTTTCACAGTCCTTTTGTTTTAACCCAGAATTCACCTGAAATGAAAGTGCAACTACAACAAACAGAGACAGAAACTAGATTCATGGTATTCTCCCCATCTGCGATGTATGCATCAGGCACAGTGTTTTCAAAGAAAGAGAGGCTGATTGAGGAGCAGTGCATTTCAATTAAATCCATCCTCAAAAGATGCAAATCTGTAGTGAGCGCTCCCGAGTTTTATGGGTACCTCTCTCAAGGAGGCTTTCAGTATGGAGATGTCTTCCAGAATAAGAGGGATGTTCACTATGGAGAGGATCTTAAGGAGGCTGTTGCATGTGTCACAATTCCACAAGAAATCCGTTCTCAGCTGCATGACTACTGCATTCATCCTGTTGTGCTGGATTTCCTGATGCAGCTTATCCCAGTTACAGTAAAGCAATTTTTTGCAGATAGACAAGGATTTCCTACCAAAATAGGCAGTCTAATAGTGGGCGAGCCCCTGCAAGATGAGATGATTGTCTATCTGAGAGCAACTGATGTGGGAACCGATCACCTTGAGATTTGTGGCTGTTTTGCAGATAAAGAAGGAAGAGTGTTGGTTGAGGTTAAGCATGTGATAATCAAGTATATTGGAAGTGGCTCTCATGTAGTTGAGGAGTATTTCTATCATAATAACTTCAGTGTAATCCCTGAATGCATCACATCTGGTCCTCCTCCAAGGGCTTTGGTCTTCAATGACCATATAGGGATCTCGTTTGCCCTCCAACAGTATTTGGACTCAAGGTCTAGATACGTTTCTTTGACACATGCAAAAGATTGCTTGTGCCATGGGTTTCCATCTCTCTTGGCAAATCTCCACATAACAGATATTGAGAGTAACTTTGATGATGTCTTATTTTTGTGGGGTAAGGAAGACCTCACTTCACTGGCAGCTGATGTTGTCCTGCAGAATTTGACCAACTGCTGTGAGATTTTACGCCAAATAGCATTGGAGCTGAAAAGAGTTCATTTTCCAAACTCCATCAGAACAATCACCTACTGCTCATCTGACCTCACAGTGGACCACATACGTCCAGGTTTTGTACTTTCTGGCATGACAAGAGCATTTGCTGCAGAGATACCAGACCTTTTATTTCAGCTGATTGATATACACAGTACCTCTGCCAAGGACATTGAAGCTCTCTCTGAGGTCATCAGGTCTTGTCCATGCAGCAAGTATCCAGAGTTGGTGGTGAAAGATGGGCTGATTCTGAAACCTTCTATTGTTCGTACTCCACCTGAAATCATTGATAGTTCAAAAGGTAGTTTTGCCTCTACAATGTCTGAGCCCTGCATCCTTCAAACAGCTGATGCACATGAGGTGGTCCAACTGAATTGCATTCACTTTGAGGAAAATGCCCAGCCAATCAGTGATACATCAGTTGAAATTCAGCCCACTAAGATATGTATTCATTCATCTGACTACTTCCCTGTCAGTGATTCACATCTAAGATTTGGCCAGACATTGTACTGGAACAAACACTCATCACAGAACCACAAGCTACTGGCTCTTGACTTTAGTGGTACTATTACAGCTGTTGGAAAATATGTCACTAAATTGAAAATGGGAGACCACGTAGCTTGCTGTTATCCAGTGGTGGCAGCCAGCAAGGTCAGAGTTCCAGAGGACGTGTGCTACAGCACCAAACGATTCCCATTCCTTCAAAAACCACCCTGTGTTTCCTACTTTGTGCTAGCATGGGAGATCCTGCATCGAGCCTTACCCAGAGCCAAACATAATCTAGGGATTGAATCCTGTGTGCCTGATTCTACTCTGATAAAAGTCTTGGCACTCACCTCTTATAAGTCAGGTTGGAATGTGATTGTTAGCACACAGTGCAATGGCACTTTTAAAGATGTCAATCAAATTGATGCATTTGTCATCCTGCCTCCATTTGATGAATCTCTGATTCTTAAAATCTGCAACCTCCCATGTGTCAAACATGTTGTCTTCATTTGTGATTCTCAGATGCAGTGTTTCCTTGCTCAGGATTTGTTCCACAGTATGAAGGACAGTGTTCATGTGCAGACAATTCAGATGCCTGTCATTTTGCACAAGGGATCCTTGAGTGCAAAAAGGCCATACATTTATCAGTGGCTTAAGTCCCTGAACCTGAGTAGCAAATTTGCTCTTGAAAGCTACACCTTTCAAAGTATGACATCTGACAGCAATGAGAGCCTAAACACAGAGAAACCACAATCATACTTCCACTCAAAGAAGTTGGCTGTTCTTAGTCTGGAAAAAGATACTGGCAGTACACTATCTGACAACCCATTGCTGCCAACAAGGAAACAGCTTTTCCAAAAGAGAGCAGTGTACGTAGTGGCTGGTGGTCTTTCTGGCCTGGGCTTTGAAACTGTCAAGTTTATCTCACAAAGAGGTGGTGAGTACATTGTCATACTCTCCAGGAGCAAGCCCACACCAAAAGTACAGCTGGAGATACACAACATAGAGAAGAAGTGTAAAAACTGCATCACCACCATGGAATGTGACATATCTGTATCCCAGGATGTACACAAAGTTATCAGTGTCATCGGCCAGAAATTCCCTAATTGTCCAATCAGAGGAGTTTTTCACAGCGCAGTTGTCTTACATGATGGGCTCATTGAGACTCTTGACAGATCTCTCTATGAGAAAGTTCTCAAACCCAAAGTAAATGGTGCGCTGAATTTGCACCATGCAACACAGCACTGTCAGTTGGATTACTTTGTGTGTTACTCTTCCATGTCAGCTTTTCTTGGAAATGCAGCACAAACAAACTATGCAGCTGCCAACACATTCCTCGACATGTTCTGTCACTACCGGCGCAAACTTGGGCTGCCTGGACAGTCAATCAACTGGGGAGCCCTAAACCTTGGTCTCCTCTTGCACAAGGATAATTACCAACAGTTTCTTGAGGCAAAGGGGATGATGGTTTTGGATGTGGCTGAGATTCATAAAAGCTGGAGCAATGTCTTTTGCTCAATCGGCCCCAGCAGGCTGTATGTAGGTTTCACTTCAGAAACATCCGATACAACATCCTCTCTCAAAATGCAGCCTTGACCATGCGCTTATCAGCTTTGGTAGAGGAGGCTTTCCAAAAATCTAAAGAGACAGACTCTCACTCTAAACCAACTAATCCAGTCTCACCCAAAGAGTATGTAAACTCTCTGCTTTGTGAGACAACTGACATGGATAAAAAAGAGCTGAAAGAAGGATGTCTTCTTTCAACTTTAGGCATTGACTCCATGCAGGCCATGACTTTGCAGAATATCATCTTTCAGCAGAGAGGTGTGAATGTGCCTTTGGTAAAATTGCTGGATCCCAATGCCACTTTATCAACAATTGTAGCTATACTAAATGAAGAAGGTGAAAACATCTGTGATAACCAAAAGTCTGTCCCAGCTCAAGAAATGGATGATATGTCCACCAGACTGTAAATAAGACCAACATAGATGAAGGAATGTCAACCAAAGATATTTCTCACTGTATTTAGTAGAAGCCACTGTAATTTTTAAGTTTGGTATTGCAATGTCTTGTAGATGCTTTTGTGATTTTTGGATTCAAGTTTGTCATTGTCTTGTGTTGTTGTACCCTTACACAATATGGATGCATTTTACACACTAACTGGGCAATGTGCTGATTTTGAATTGGTGTTCTATATAACATTCTTACCCATCTCTTTATTGTTACGTTTATTATGGAAAAAAAAGAAAGCAGCACAATTAGCAACACAATTGTGACTGAAGATGTTCAAACGTTCATATTGTATTAATTTCAGTAAAAACTCTGATTACCTTTAAAAAAAAGTCTAACTTTAAGCTTGTCTAACTTTTTATTTTGTCGTCTGATTCAGTGTTTCAATAAACTTTTGCCTTTATTTGGCTTACGATTTTCTTTTTTCTCATACTGCTGTATGTCTGGATGAGGACATTGTTAATCTTGGGGGAAATTGCCACACAATGGACACACAAGCAGGTGAAATGAAAACAGTGTTATTTCCCAGTCTAGGGAATGTAGACACAACATGATGAGTGACCCTCACTCTTCCAAGTCAAATTCAGATTTAAAGCAGCACCTCAACAAGTCTATCAGAATCAAAACTATTTTCCTGACACACAATCTGATCTACAAGGCGTGAACAATTGACACAGATCTAAATTAGACAGAGCTAAATTCTTGTTTTATTGGAAGTGGCTGGTGAAGTGCAGAGAAGACAGCAGCAGCTGAGTTTTAAAAGCTGTGAAGTCAGGCTTGATCCAATCAGGAAGCAGCAATTCATTTGAGTGTCAAGTGTTTGTTTATACTTTTGAAAATCGGCTGTTCAAATAATGACAAATATTCTTAAATGTATAAAACATAGTTTATATTTCACAAATCAAGACATTTGTATTTCAATTGGCAAACATTTTTGGGTATAAGTGCAACATAAAAACAATATTACTTGCAGCGACATATTTACAAAGATTTGGAACTTCTTAGAAAAATAAATTTACATTAAAATCATAACCAGAAAGTAGTACAGAAATGTCATCCAAAAATGTTACTGAGCAAATTTACAGTAGGGAGAAAAATCATTAACTTTAAGAGATTGTGTAAGGGTGGTATGAGCAGACCTACAAAGAAGTGTACAAACTCAGCTGATATTTGGACAGAATCACAGCAGAGGAATGGTGCAGTCTCAGACTAAACAAATGTATTTATTGTATTGTAATGTATTATTATTTAATGAATTTACAAAACCCATTCTTTCTCAGAATTCAAGGTATTTTTTCATAGAGAAAAATTATTCACTACTCACTACACAAGTTTCCAAAGTTCCCAGAGTACTGTTGGGGTCCAATATTTGAACTAAAGGTATATTAACACCTGTCTCTTGGAATATCTTATTCTGCAGAGTCATTGCCAACATTGAGTCAATACCCAGTGCACACAGAGCTGTGTCCTCTTCAAGCTCCTCTACTCTAACATTGCTGATGTCGCTGACAATTTTTCTCACACTTTCATGTCTAGATGACAAACACTGAATCACAGATTCATTACTCACATCTTCTTTTAGCTCAATTTCCACTAAAGCTGACAGTCGCTCCCTGAGAGATGCATTCTGTGAAAGTACATGAATGTTCAGATTTTTGAAGTTAAACTTGCAAATGACTTGTTGTGGTCTGTTTATCATAAGACAATTTTCAAGTGCCTTTTGAACATCACACACATCCATTATCATCATCCCTTTGGCCTCCAGGAACTGTTGAAAATGGTCTTTGTTCAACAAGAGACCAAGGTTCAAAGGACCCCAGTTAATGGACTGTCCAGCAAGGCCAAGATTTCTCCGGTAATGACAGAAAGTGTCAAGGAAGGAATTGGCTGCTGCATAGTTACACTGTGAGGCATTGCCAATGAATGATGAGATGGAGGAGTAGCACACAAAGTAATCCAGTTTATTGTGAAGTGTTGCATAGTGAAGGTTTAGAGCCCCACTAACTTTGGGTTGCAGAACCTTTTGGAAGAGAGACTGATCAAGGGTTTCAATCAACCCATCATGCAATACTGCAGCACTATGAAACACTCCTTTGATTGGACAAGAGTGGAACATTTGTTCAATCTTTGAGATTGCACTGACTACCTGCATAGACACAGAAACATCACATTGGACATTGATGATTGTTACTCTGTGTCTTCTTTGCAGGAGTTCCATTTGAAACTGCAATTCATCATTCAAAGTCCTTCTGGACAGTGTTACAATACAACCTCCACCATTGTTTGCAATGAACTTTACCGTCTCAAGCCCTAAGCCAGACAGCCCTCCAGTGACAATGTACACACAGTTTTGTTTAAAGAGTTGACCAGGCCTTGTAAGCAAGGGGACATCAGACACTGGGCAATCAGATGCTCGTAGAACAACTTGCTTCACAGTCTTTGTTGTAAAGTAGGAATCAGAATCTGCGTTAGTCTGAGGCTCTTTTGTGAAAGACAACTGAAAAGTCTCCCTTTTCAGAGGTAGAGATGCTGTATCAAAGTCTAATGAAATGAGCCAGTTAGAGATATTCCTGGTTTGTTCTTGCAGATTGGCTTTCTGTAGTACATCAGTTACATCCAGTTTATGTACATGCATGTTTTCACCATTCAATACAAGCATGTCTGCTGAGAGTGAGCATGACACTTGTTTGCTACTTACAAAAATAGCATGTCTACCTTGACCATCAATTTCACACAACTGCTTCCAAGAGTCCTCAAAGGGGGGAAGAAAAACAAATGCAAGACTCTGGTCAAAATGTAAAGAATTTCTTCTTAAGTGTGGCAAAGAGGAAACATTCCAGCCTGACCTGTTTGCTGTCATAGCCAAAACTTTTATCAGAGCGGAGGCAGTGTTGGAGGAGATAATCACCAGCTTTCTTGGCTGTTGTTTAACCTTTGACAGCATTCTCTGCAGGATCTCCCATGCTAGTATGAAGAAAGACACACATGGTGTCTCTTTCAGAAATGGTAGTCTCTTTACACTGTAGCACACTGCTTCAGGAATTATAATCTTTGCAGTGGCAGCAACTGGATAACAAGACGCAATATGATCTCCAACTTTAAACCTATTAACATCTTTCCCAGCTGCTGTGACAATTCCATGAAAATCTAAAGCAAGTAGCTTATGATTATGTGATGTTTGCTTGTTCCAATACATTGTCTTGCCAAAGTTTAAATGTGAGGTTGTGACAGGAAAATAATCAGAGGAATGCACACATACATTTGTAAGCTGAATCTCAACTGACTTCTCTTGGATAGGACTTGAATTTTTGTCACAGGGAATGGCAGACAACTGAGACATTCTGTATGGATCAGTTGTCTGTACAACAAAGTTGCTCTGATAATCTGAAGGCATATCCTCCGCACACAAATCCCCATCCATTGCAAGTGTTCGTGTTATTCTTGTTGTTGATACTTTCCCTTTGCTGATCATGACCTCTTGCTGTTTGCAGGTGTTAATTACGTGGACCAGCGATTGAATGTCTTCACTCGTTAAAGAAGCAACATCAATCAACTGAAAAGAGATATCTGTAATCTCTGCTGCGCACGCCCTTGTCATACCAGACAGCACAAAGCCAGCACTGACATGGTCCACATTTGCTTCTGTTGATCTATAGGTTATGACCTGGACGGAGCAGGTGTGTTTGCTCTCCTTCAAGGCTAAAACAATCTGTCGAAATAACTCACAGCAAGTCACCAAGCAGTCCATTATCTTCTCAGATGACAAGTGACTGAGGTCTTCAACACCCCAAAGGAAGAGGACGTTTTCCAAACCCAGATTGGTGTCAAGTGAGTGGAAAACTAAATTTCGAACTTGGTCTGCTGACCAATGCTGCCTGCTTTCCACAAATACTGACTCTGAGTGTATGTATGGCCTGAGTCCTTGAGCAATTCCAAGTTTGTCTTGGAAAACTATTGCCTTCATTTGGTGACTCTGCAAGTTTGTCTTATGTGGAACTGCAACAACTTCATTGTGGAAGAACCATGACTGAACGACATTTGAGCGGTTACCCAAAAGGGATATCCTCAACCCTTTAAGTTCCACCAGTACCTCACCTTCTGGGGTGGAAAAGCTACCACATACATCAAGAAAACCTTGAGTCTCTTGAGTGGCTCGTAAATACATAACCATCTCTCGCTGTAGTGGTCCTGATATGACTACACTACCAATAGCTGAGGGGAATCCTTGTTTATCTGCTAGCCGTCCAACAGCAACAACAGCAGTCATTTGCAAGAAATAGTCTAATACCACAGGGTGAATGAAATACTCATGAAGGTGTTGTAGAAGTTCAACAGGGACTTCGATTGCGGTCACAGCTTCCTTGAATTCATCTCCAAAATGCACATCATCAAGCTGCTTAAAGACAGGCCCGTATTCAAATCCTGCTTGAGAGAGAATTGAATACATCTCTTTTCTCTTCATAATCAGTTTGCACCTTTGGAAGATCATGCCAAGACAAATAGTTGGTTCTTCTAGCAGTGGTTGGCCATCTGTACACCTATATGTGCCTGAGGCATGTGTTGCGACTGAAGACTGAATTTTAAATGAAGCCTTGTTCTTTTCTTGCTCCAGTGTCACTTTCAACTGATGACAGTTTGAGGTCAGTGTAAACACATTCTCAAATTTTACACTGAGCTGGAGGACAGAAACAGGTTTCGTTGGACTTAAAGTGGCCATCACTGAGGCATAAGCTAGTTCGACATACAATGCGCCTGGCACAATGGGAACACCATTGTTTTTATGCTCCCAAAGATATGGTGCAGTCTCTAGTGACAGATTGCACCTGTACTCTTTGCTACCCTGCTTTATTTGGGTTATGAGTGTATGGGGAAATAAATCCCATGATTCCTCTCCTTTACGCATAGCTTCAAAATCCAATTCCCTTTTTGAATTGTCAAATTGATAGACTGGAAAAGCTGTGGGAAGTAACTCACAACCACTGTAAATCTGATGCCAGTCCACATTGATGCCCAGTTCAAACAGTTTTGCCACAGTTGACAAGATCGTGTCATTATCTCTTTCTGGCTGGACAGAAGGAAGAACTATGGTGTTATTTCCCAAAATTTCATGCAAGTACCTTTGGAGAGTCCTACGTGGTCCAATCTCCACAAAGACCACATTTCTCTTTGATTGCTTGTCTTTTGTGACAGCATGCAGTGTTTGTTCAAATAAAACAGGCTCTCGGATGTTCCTTGCCCAGTACCTGCCAGAGATGAAGTCACAAGCTGAAGAACCATCTCCAGTCACAGTTGAATAAAGTCTGCACACCTTGTCATTGGCAGCCAAGTTATCAATACTTTTCTCAATGTCTTTAAGTATAGGATCCATCATATGGCTGTGGTATGCTGCTGGAACATCTAACTCATAGAGGAAGATATTTTCATCTTCAAACATAGTCTTCAACCTCTGATGGAGGATGTCTATAGCATCTGACTCCCCTGACAGAGTGCAGGACTGGGGGCTGTTGAATGCTGCAACACAAATTTTCCCAGAAAAAGCAAGCAGGTTATCTAAAACCTTTTCTACAGTCACATTACTTACAACAAGCATCTTCCCTCCTGTAACCTTGGTCTGAAGAGTACTGCGGTGGTACAACACTTTTACAGCATCATCAAGAGACAAAAGACCCGAACAGTGAGCTGCAGCAACCTCGCCGACAGAGTGTCCAAGCATGGCATCAGGTCTGATACCCCAGTGCTTAAGGAGAGCAGCAATGCCAACCTGAATTGAAAACAAAAGAGGCTGTACTACATCTGGCTTCCTGAAATCATCATTTGCATAGTCATCAGAAAACCACCGACTGATGCTGATGCTTTTATGATGCTGGAAGAGATTATCAATTTCCTTGATTTTATCTCTGAAAACAGGGAACTCTCTCAGGAGTTCCCTGCACATGCCCCTATAGGCAACCCCATTTCCACAAAACACAAAGACCAACTGGATGTCAGACTGTGTTGACTCAACCTTTGTTTTCAATGCAGACGTCAACTGATGTTCCAAATCTGAGAGGGAAGAAGTCAGAAAGGCCTTCCTGTATTTGTGTCTAGAATGACTCCTACCACATGCTGAAGTATATGACAGAGCCTGTAAGTCAACGTTTTGATTTCTGAAAAGCCTCTGTTGGGTGTCTGTGATGGTAAGACTATATGATGCCTCAGAGGCTGCAGATATCACAAAGAGTGTTGGGCAGCTTTTTGGAGTTTAGTGGGTATGTTGGTTTGTTTATGCTCTTGCAAAATCACATGTGCATTTGTGCCTCCAAACCCAAAGCTGTTGATTCCAGCCAGCCTCTCCAATGACCCTTTAGTCTCCCATTGTCCAGCTTTGGATGGAATACTTATTCCCAGAGCTTCGAAATCTATACTTGCACTTTCTTCTGAGAAGAAAACTGTGGGAACAATGCTCTTGTGTTCCATCATTAAGAGTACCTTAATTAGTCCAGCCACCCCAGCAGCAGATTCTGTGTGTCCAATGTTACCTTTCACAGAGCCAATCCAGAGTGTCTGTGCACCAGGAGGTCTGGCCTTGGCGATGACTTTTGAGATGCTTCCTGCCTCTATAGGGTCTCCTACTGGCGTTCCAGTCCCATGTGCCTCTATGTACTGGACATTTGCGAGGTCAGATTCTGAGTAGATTCTGTGTAGGAGTTCCTCTTGTTGTGACATGGAGGGTTTGGTGATTGGAGTTACTGAGCGTCCGTCTTGGTTAACCGCTGTTTTGCTGATGATGCCCCATATTTTGTTGCAGTCTTTTATAGCCTTTTGGATATAAAGTCACCCATTTAGTACACTTTATCCTGTATGAACTGTTCTAATGACATGAAATACTCAATAGAAATCAATTATTACTTTAAATACTTACATTTTTCAGAGGTTTTAGTAGAACTACACCACAACCCTCCCCTCTGCCATAGCCATCTGCTCTGCTGGAGAAAGGTTTACTGGTTCCCTCAGGTGAGATCATGTTGGCCTTGCTCAGAGCAATGAACACTCTTGGCTCTATTATGCAGCTCACACCTCCACACAGAGCCATTCCACAGTCTCCTAGTTGAACGAAAGAGGGATATGAAATATAGAAAACTCATATTCAATGCCCCATATCAGCTTGATTTTAGGCCTACCATTTGTAGATGAAAGGGAACCAAATACCTTGTTTTATAGCCTGGCAGGCTAAATGTACAGCCACCAAAGATGAAGAACAGGCACTGTCAATGGCTAAAGAAGGGCCAGTGAGATTAAATGTGAATGAAACTCTATTGGCTGCCATACTCATTGCTGTCCCGGTACCATTGTAGTGGTTTATTGTAGTAGAACGGTTACTTCTGAGCATCTCATAATCCCTGTTCATAAGACCTGCAACACCATTATAAAGAGAACAGTATGTTACAAATGGTTTTACTTGAAATTGAAATGGACTTGATCATTAATAGTATTACAGAAAAATATGAGTTACCCATGTAAACTCCACTTCTGCTTCCACTGATGCTTTCCATTGCTATTCCTGCATCTTCTAATGCCCTGTATGAACACTGCAGAAGGAGTTTTTGCTGAGGGTCCATGAAATCAGCCTCTGCTTCAGTAATGCCAAAGAACCTGTGGTCAAACTCATTAAACCTAGGATAAAACAAAGATAGAGCCATCAAAATTATAACGGCTCCAAAAAGAAAGACTCAGTTTATTTCAGTAAACGTAGAAAATGCTTACCCTTTTATCAGAGCTGCCTTCATTGTCTGTGTCTTTCCTGGTTTGCTATCATCAGGGTCATACCAAAAAGTGGTGTCAAACCTCTCTTTTGGGATATCCACAGCACAGTTCTGTCCCTCCAACAGAACCCTCCAGAAGTTGTCCAACCCCTCACCTAAATAAATGTACCACAGAACATCCAACTTTATAAAAACTATATTGACACAGATACATTCAAATACCAGGGATAGTGTGAAAGATGAGTCATACCTCCAGGGAAATTGCATCCAATTCCAACAACAGCTATCCCATCCTCTTCATCCTCCATTGTTCTTTGGAGATGGTGGAGATCTGCTCTGCAGACTTTATTCCAAATACAGAGCAATGAATTTGCTCTGTGAATTTAAAGGCTATCCTTACTGAGTTTAGAGTTCAGCTGCTGTCTTTGGTCACAACTAGTGCTTCTGAACCTCCCAGCCTTTATAAGCATTGAGCCAGAGATCCATGAGAAGAGACAAGAGGACACAACAATGACCCGGCTTGTTGAACCGCAGATGGCTTCTTCTGGGACTAAATACGTTAATTGTACGTTAAGAGCATTGGAAAGCAGCAGTCAATAACCTTTGTTCTTGTTTCCAAGTCAACAATAGGACAGTGTTTAGGAAGAATCCATTCAGCTTCTCTAACAACCTTTAACCGCTCCTTGATTTTAACTTGATGCCAAATTACAGCAAAATGAATGAAGGGCTTTTTACTTTAAGATTTTCTAGAAATCTGCCTCCTTCGAGATGATGTGACTATTAATGTGATCTTAGAAGACAATAAAAGAGAATAAACCGAAATATAAAACAAAAATATGCTTTGAAATTATATCTATCAGCACAAGTGTACTGTATATTTGGTATGGTTTTTATTGTACAGACAGATCAGTGGATAGAGTTGGAAATCAAGGACAAAGAGAGAGAGAATGACATGCAGGAACGGAGCCACAGGTCTGATTCAAACATTGCCGCCTGTTTTGAGGACTACAGCCTCTGTACATAGGGCACATGAACTAACCACACGTCATCGGCACCCCATAGGAGTAAAACTTAATCCAAACCAGTGATATTACAGGTATCAATGTTGTGTTGATGCAGCATGTTACACTGCCCTCAGGTGGCCATGATACTGTCTTCACAGTTACTGCCATCACACAGGTATAAACTCCTTCCTGCCCAGAAGAAATCCTTCATTGCATATAATCACCCTTGACAATCTCAAATAGACAGTGTATGACAACTGTTTCTCTAAATTGCTGTTTTAACAGTCTTTGTATGTGTCTGTACCATGTTTTTTTTTTAAATGTAAACTATGAGTTATGTTTGAGACTTTGCCAGGGGGAGAATTCCTGTCACTGTTGGGAAAAACAATTAAGTCCATCTATCTACATGCATTTCATTTGAGTCACGTATCATACAACACATTCATGAGTAAAAGAAACCTTTATTTCAGCTTCAAAGACCTTTGTCTGCCGAAACAAACAAAAGCACAATGTCAACCTTTAACACACTTAATATATATATACACATTTACCCTCATTGATCTGTTACAGATGAGCTTAGAATTCCACATGAAGGCCTATCACTAGCTTCAAAAAAAAGAAGAGAGAACACGTCTTTGGGCACTTAAATAAATAAGAAGAACACACAATAGAAAGCATAGGTAGATGTAACTGAGAGACACAATTTAGAGGACAAACTGTGCATGGACTGTTCGACACTGAACAGAGGTATGACCTGGACTTTTGCTACAGCGGAACGTTACATTCTGGATTGAGGTGCTTTAAGGTCCTACGGTGTATACGATGTCTGGACAAAGATCAGACACACAAATGTAGTAACATGGTGTAATCTCACCTTAATTAACCACGATCGTTATTGAATTCATTACCTTTCTACCTTTGTAATCATACATGATTCTGACATATAAAACTATTGCAGGAGTCTTTTTCTTCTGTCTTTGAAAAGACCTCAATGAAACACCAGATATTTGCAACCCGTACACAAATCATCCACTTAAACCGTGAAGTGCTTTCAAACTGCTGTGAAAATAAAACTTCTCTACAGAAAATGGGACGAAAAGAAAATGAATAAAAACAAAATGTATAAGGGTTTAACTCAGTCATTTCAGCGCCCTCTTCACACTGATAAAAAGAATACAAAGAAATGAAATACAAGGCCTCCAAAAGGCCTGTGCACGATTGCACAGCTTCCTCTATATATATACACAAGAGTCTAAAATATCTACTGAGGTATCTTAGATGTCCAGCGATTTGCCCTCCAGCACCTTTTGGATCTCTTTGGCATCCAGAGTTTCGTATTGGAGCAAGGCGTCAGCTAGCGTCTTGTGCTCCTTGCTGTAGGTTTTGAGGAGGTTTTTAGCACGGTCATAGGAGTCCTGGCAGGAAGAGAAAGATTGCCGAATCAGAAATCGTAAAGAGAGTTTATAAATTATCTCCAGACATGTAGCATACTTATAATCAATGAAAAAGTAAATATTTACCTTCAGTAAAGCCCTGACTTCCTGTTCGATAGCAGCTTGTGTCTCAGGGCTCTGCTTGGTCACATCACCGTAGGTCATGACACCGAGCTACGACAAAAAAACAGAAATGAAACCTTAGGTTGAATGACCAACAGACCTGCTCGTGCAACAGTCTCTGATAGTTACTGTTTGAGGTAGACAGAGATGTAATTTGTCTTAGGTGTAATAATATGGCACAGTGATGTTAGACATTCCTTCAAACTTAACAATAAATCAGTGAAGAATCTCTGTTTACACACTACCTGAAATAAACTACTGTAGTGTTTAGATTCAACGGAAATGTCCTTATATGGCAAGTCAATTATATGATAAGATATAAAGACAGAAAACACATCGATAATACAAATACTCTTAATCGTATCAAGTTTAAAAAAGGTCAACTCTACATGTGTACAGTTAAAGATAGTGTTGTAGTACTGGAGTACCTGGTGTAACGGTCTAAGTGGGGGACATGCTCCCTGCACACATGATTATGGTTTTTTATTGATATTTATGGTCTTGGTCTCGCACTGCCTTGGTCTCAGTCTTGACTCGTCTCGATCTCTAAATTTCTTGTTCTTGTCTCAGTCTCAGAGAACTCCAATCTCTGGTATGTCTTGGTCTCGGTTAGTGTGGTCTTGACTACAACCCTAGTTAAAGCTCCAGAAGCACTGTATACTTAATAAAAACGTTCTTCTATTTCAATTTAGAGCATCAGAACAATTACTCATCAACCACAGAAACATATATTATACCTTGTCACTCATGCCGAACCTGGTCACCATCATTTTGGCTATTTTAGTTGCTCCATCAAAGTCACTGGATGCTCCTAAAACATAAAAAAACATGAGATTTAAGACAAAGTATTTTTCACAATCACTAAAGCTTTCAGCTAATATAACATTTTAAGATAGTAGTAGTTCTGAGGTAATCAAAATTGTAGGATTAGACTTCACTGGATAAACTATGATAAATTTGCAATAGTCGTCAAGTTATCAACCTTTAAGGGTTTTTAAAGAACAAAAATGTTCTTATTTTCAGTACAAACAGATTAATGAGAAGCGTCTTGATTGTTGTGAGTGTATAATACCGGAGAAATAAGTTGATCCCTAACAGCACATCAGGTTTTAAATGGACTGTGGTAACATTTTGTTTTCATATTCACCAGTGGTGATGTAGTCGTCTCCAAAGATGAGCTCCTCTGCTACTCGGCCGCCCATACTGACGTCCATCTGAGCCAGCAGCTGGGCTCTCGTCTCGCTCCAGCGGTCATTTTCAGGGAGCATGGACACCTGGGGAAAGAGACGACAGCATTATGAAATGCTTTAAATTTCAATAAAAGGGAACACAAAAAGAACTGGTATGAAGTCCTGAGATAAAAGAGAAGCTCACATGGCCAAGTGTTGGTCCCCTGGGCATGATAGTGGCCTTATTGATGGGCATCGCATCTTTGGTGAAATAGGCAACAATAGCATGGCCGGACTCGTGGTATGCTGTGATGGTTTTATTCTTCTTGTCGATGTCCACACTCTTCCTCTCGGGGCCTGGTGTGAAAAGGACAAAATCAAAAAGGATTTGAAGGGATTAACACAAAAAAATGTAACCCTCATTCCTTCCTTCCTTCCTCGCTGACTGGAGCGTGTATCCAGGTAATCGTTCTCATGTGATGCAGAGTGGATTCAAACATTGTGTGTACTCACCCATGAGGATCTTGTCCTTGGCGAACTCCAGGTCTTTCAATGTGACCATTTCTTTCTCGTCCACGGCCGCCTTCAGGGCTGCCTGGTTGACCAGGTTCTCGAGCTCTGCCCCCGAGAAACCCACTGTGCCCCGGGCAATGATCTCTGCTTCAACAGCTATGAAAGAACAAACACAAAAAGGACAAAGGCTTCCTTATAAAGTTGACCAGTCGTAAAGGGACAATGCAGACGTTTTTCTTGGATATTAAACAAAGGTATTCTCTGAAAAAACAGTAGAAGCAGTAAATCCATCAATGGTTTCGAATCAACAAGGATGGCTAATGTTTCTGGCAAATGTGCAGCTTTTTCCTAAAAGTATCGCCTAATGCTCAGATTAAACTGAAAAATAAAGATTAAAAATTACAGAAAACTCTTCAGCAAGAGAAGTATTTTGAAAGAGTTGCTCTACGGGGTGCTTATTTGGCTAGTGGTTAGGTCGTGCAGCTTGTATGGACTCTGACCTGTTGCTCCTTTCCTGCGTGTTATTCCCCACATGCTTCCCTATAACCTTCTCTATCCACTGTCCTCTCTCAGTAAAGGCAAAAGCACAATAATAATACCTTTTTTTAAAGAGAAATATTTGCTTTATGAACATTTTTAAATATCTTTGATATTTTTCACTGAGACCTACCCGGGTCCACTTTGATCTTGGAAAGGTACCAGTTGAGAATTTCTGTGCGTCCTTTTACGTCTGGCCGAGGGACCGTCACCTGCATGTCGAACCTTCCTGGCCTTACCAAAGCGCTGAAAGTAGAAGCAAAGTAGCAATGAGGAACATGGCTTTAACACATGCAGAAAACTCCTGAAACACTCCTGATATTTGTCGGAGCAGCTGTATGAGTGAACACAATTCACCAGGAGTTTCTCCTACCAGACCCCTGGTGTTTTTTTCCTGCAGCAAGTCCGAGTGAGCTGATGTGAGGACACAGCAGGATCCGGAGAATTCAACTTCAGCGAATAGGAGGGGGAGTGATGTTTATATCCTGTGACTGCTGCGTGGTGCAGAGTGTATGCATGCAACCGCTTCGATCTCCATGCACGTAATTAAACGTCTACATTACGTTTTCTGTTGGTCAGTATGTTGTCCTCCGCTCTTTTGTTGATCATGTGGTGTCGTTGAACTATATTCTCATTATAGCATCGTATAGCGGACTGTTTTGCTTTGTCCGCTACTTCTGCATTGTTTTTTCAAGACACGTCTTACCTCAGGGCAAATAAAACTAAAGGTTTGTTTTTCTCACTGCACAGCACATTTTAATTAACTTCTCGTTAAACTATGCAAACAAAAAAACTCTGTTCCCCTGAAAGCTGTTGTCTTACTTTGGCTGATCTAAAAACAAGTCAGTATTTCATTTATATTCAGAGTGTTTGTTTTGTCTGTGTAACACAGAAACTAGGACGCGGCCAAAGGTTCAAACAGCCTGAGGCATCAGACAGACAGAAGACAACGTTCACAGAGCAGGAAATAAACACTGAAACATGAACTAAATCTACACTGTACAGGTTGACCTGAACTCTCAGTACTGTAGGTACACTTTAAAATAGCTTATACTTCTAAAATAAGCCTTTTAAAGCTTTGGTAATAAGGAAAAGATAAACATACTTATCCAAAGCCTCAGCAAAGTTTGTAGCACCGACGACAATGACGCCTTCGTTTGGTTTAAACCTGTAAAAGACCAAAACATTGAGTCAATCAATCTTTCTTTATGTAGCACCAATTCATAACAAATGTTATCTCAAGACACTTTACAAAAGAGCAGGTAAAAGACCGTACTCTTTGTTATCTTATCTACAAAGACCCAAACATTAATCCATCATGAGCACTATGCAATATTCAGCAAACATACAGGAAAGGAAAAACTCATAAGGGGCAGAAACCTCGAGCAGAACATATTCACATCCTGCAGAGTGAAAAATAAATCAAAGCTGGGAAACTGACCCATCCATTTCAGCCAGCAGCTGGTTGATGGTTTGTCTGGAATAAGGATGCATAGGAGACTCAATCCTCTTTCCACCAACACTGTCCAACTCATCAATGAAGATCACAGCGGGTGCATTGGCTTTGGCCTCTTCTGCAAAACGCAACAAAGAAGAAATTGTAGTTTTTTTGCCAACATTTTCAACTGCTTCGTTTTTTTTTTTTTTTACATCAAGCACACTCACTGAAAAGGTTCCTGATTCTGCTCGCGCCAACACCCACAAACATCTCATCAAACTCTGATCCGGAGGCGTAGTAGAACGGTACATCAGCCTCCCCGGCTATAGCGCGTGCTAACAGAGTCTTTCCTGTGCCCGGAGGACCGACAAGGAGGATCCCTGAGAGGGTCGCACGGGAGACAAGATTAGTTTTAATTATTTAGATTAACAGCCACATTTTTCCAGGACAATAAACAAAGGAAATGGGCAAAGCATAGAAAATAATAACATACCTTTGGGTAGCTTTCCCCCCAGTACGGTAAACTTCTGGGGGTTCCTGAGAAACTCGACAACCTCTTGCAATTCATTCTTGGCCTCCTCCACTCCTTTGACGTGATCAAATGTCACATTCTTCATCTGGATGGGGTCGACTGCTGAGTCAAGACCAGACGTGGTGCGGAATCTCACTGTGGAAACGCAAAACAACGGCCTCAGTACAAAAATCTCAGGATACGTTTTCTAATATTTCCAAATGTCTCCAAGTGACGGACAATATAACTGCTGGTTAGGGCATGCACAGATGTAAATATGAATTGTTCTACCTTCCTATATTACCTGTAACTGGCATACATAAGTGATACATTGTTATGCAGCAGAACAATCAATCAAACTCTACATGCACAGCCCAGGAGATGTCATGTCATCAGCTGTACTCTCTATCGTCAATGCTTCTTTAACTGAAATTTTTTGTCACTTCTTGCTACTATCTTTGAAATATTTTTGTAGCTATGTACCTCCTGGCCCATGCAAAACTTTGTATTTATTCAAATGGGTGTATCTTACTTAATCTAACTTGCAAACCAGTGCTGTAAGGTTTGAACCCAGAGGTAGCACACTTTCCTCTTTATCAACAATAACCAGCTCTGTTATATTGTTAGGGTGCATGTAGAGTTGCAAGATGATTTGCAAGCATAGGAGAGAATAAAAACGGAAACAAACCAGCATCAGAAAAGGAGCCTTTACCGGAGAAAAATGGGGTTCTTGACAAGCCGTAAATACCCAGAAGTAGGAGGACCAGCAGGATCAACCTGGTTCTCCTCAGCGAGTCTGTCGAAACAAAGAAGAAATAAACTCCTTTACATTGATCGCAGGACCTCCATGTGTTTTTAACTCAGCACTACCATCTAAAAAAAAACACTGCAACGTTTACACTAATAAGGATTCCACATGCCTTGTGTTCTCTGAGTGAAAGCCTGAGACCTCATGAAGCCCTCAGTGAAACCAGTCTTGAAAGCCTCCTGCTGGTTCTCTGGAAGGTTCCTTTGTTTTATCACTTGGTCCAGTGATTGTGCCTCTGGTCCCTTTTCCCTCTGAAGCAATCCCTGCAAGAAAAACAAAGTAGGCATAAGTGGGTGAGATTCAAAATGATGACTTTTCTCTTCTTAATCCACCTGTACATCGTATGTTTACTGTATAATCAGAAACAGGTGCAGGAAATCTTTCCAATAGACTGTTTCTTGTAAACTGACCTTCATGAAGGCTGGTGTGTATGGCTCAGACTCCACAGGACCGTCATAACCAGTCTCCGCTCGTCTGGCCTTTGTTCTAAAAGTCTTAAAACCTCGACTCTGGACTAAAACTGAATAGAGAAACATGGAAAAGACAAAAACATTACCCTCAGAGTAGCTCATTTATACAGTCAGGTTACGTTAAAAACAGCAGATTTGGTATTCTGAGTCAGATTCCTACCAGGCAAAAATTGTAGCTCTGAGCAGATGTCTTTTAGAGGACTGTGGTGTTGTCTGTGGAATAACTGAGAGCCAAAAACTCCTGACCTTCTGTGTGAAAACCCTGTCCAAAAAAAAAAGCACCAAAAGGTCAGTTTTGCTTACATTGAATTGCAAATGCGAAAAATGTATTTACTTCAACAACAAAACTGAACCAGATAGCTTTTAATACAGCATGCTGAAGGCCACTTTCTTAAGATGGTGATAAAGATGGTCTCATTCGGGCTTTCCAGCAGCTCACCATGCTTGTTGTGAAAGAAGCTGTTTGCAGAAACATGACTTGTCCTCCACGCAGAGGGGACAGTAGGAGGCTCTTCTGTTCCCAATGTAGGGAGCAACCTACTGATCAGCTCATCTAGCTGACTGGCTCTGACCTCTGACAGACCGAGATCCCTCAGACTCACGCTGGGCTGGAGGGAAGGGATAGAAAAAGATCATCAACTCTCAGTGAAGACCATTTTTAAATAACCTTGAGATTCTTATAGCTTTTGAAAAAAAATGTGCTTTATATTTCACAACAAACACATGTAAGTCAAAAATGTTGACAGCTGTATAGGATGGATATTCTTCAGAGCTCTGAAATAGACAGTTGGAACCAAAGTCGTCAATTCTACAATTCACTTAGCAGACGCTTTTATCCAAAGCGACGTACATCAGAGAGTGAGTACAACACAAGCAAGGATCTAGAAAAAAAAGGGAACAATGTCAGTAAGAGCAAACGATCAGCTTTGAGTCTGATTGGACACACAGGTGCTGACAGGAAGTGACCAGAGGCAAAGCACAACATTGACGGCAGTTCTTGAGAGCTCTAATCAGTATAGAAACCATCTTATAAGTCGTCGTTATCAACATCGTCACAACCACCATCATCATCATCAATAATATGGAGCCATCATCATTAAGTTAGTAGGTATTCATGAAAGAGCTGGGTCTTTAGCTTTATCTTAAAGGTGCAGAGGGACTCTGCAGATTGTTTTCATGATTATGTATTGTGTGTGTACCCTCTGTATCTGGTGTCCATCTCACCTCTTTTAGGAATGAACTGTGGTCCTGAGCAAGGTCTTTGTGCAGGGTCTGGACCGAAGCTGTGGCTGAGCTCTTCAGAGAGTGGAGGGCATTGATGAGCTGGCTGAGGGGCAGTATCATCTTACAAAAACACAAACAGAGGAGGTTGAATAATCATCGCTCACCACATGGTGACAAATACAACATTACCCATACTGCCCTACAAAGGCAGTAACTTGAGTTTTTGTCATTTTTGGAACATTACAGATGTGCTTTATTATGTGGACAGATATCTTGAGTCAATTGTGTTTTTTTTTTTTTTTGAGAAAATAGTAGATTGTATTTGCCTTAACTTCCAAAAGCCCTCGAGAAACCAAAGCAGAGTCCAGTAACTTCACTCATAACTTCACTCATCAGGGTCTTTGCCTTTGAACTGCAGCATTCAGGAACGCTCAAACTGAGTTAAGGTCTTCTGCCTTTGTTTTACTGCGGATCAAAGTGAAGTTACTGTTTCACTGCAGTGGAGTTAAGGTGTTATGTCTTTGTTTTAATATCTGTCATCAAACACGTCTGACACACACGGTAGCTTGACTAAAGTGTGTTATTTTAACAATGCAACCAAGTGAAATACAGTATCAAAGGGAAGTTACTGCCTTTTGCCTTGGCATGACGCCTTATTATTGCACAGGAAATGCAACGGCAGAGTACATTAACTTCCAAATAAGGAAGGTCATCAAATCAAAAGGTCATAACCTGATTAAAAAGACAAAGAATTGCCACATTTCCAATAATCTGCAACTCATTTGGCTGGACAACAAAAAAGACTTTAAAGTCATTTTTCTCAGTTCTACACTCTGGAGAGTTAAGGTCTTTTTGCCTTTGTAGGGCAGTATAGTATATGTACCTAACACTTATAAAAAGGTGCACAGTGCTCTAGATTTAAAGTAAATCTCTAGTCTACAGTGCAGAAAGGGGGGCAGGGCTGTTATGTCAGAGCAGGTTGTCCCTCACACGTCAGCTGTGTGCAGAATAATGTAACCTGGACTCTTTAAAGATTAACTAAGCAACCAGTTAATGTACTTTCCTGCACATTATCGCCACGTATATCAGGCAGTGACGTCATGACAGAAGCAGCACGTACAGTTATTTTCATAACGAGACAACGTGACGTCGGCACGGCTTCATAATGGAGATACTTGTTAGCATGCTACCATTAGCCGAGCGTATGTGTCATTGAACCGTAAGACAAAGACATGACATCGACAGAAACAAACTCTCACCGCTGTAATCTCCATAACAAACACTTCATAAAAATAACTACTTTGAAACTGAAGGGTCAGAGAGAGTGTCCGGAGATAACACGTTACTAGCAAAATAAAACAAAATGCTACCCGGTCGGCTTACCTGCTGAGGCTGAAACGTTGACAGTGAAAACATTTTTGCCGGATAAAACTTCAAAATGATTGGTATTTATAGTATGAGGAGAGGTACCCTCTGTGTTACTGCTCCCTAGACCTCCCTAGGGCGGTGTGCTCTTGTTTTCCCCGTTACACAACTTTCAGAGGCTTAGCTAACAACAGCAAATGGATTCTCCGGCTTCTTCTGAGGTCAAAGTGACTACAAAATGACGTCACGACAAATTACTACCGGGTTCAGCTTTACGTTGTTGCGTCACTTGCAAGATCACATAACTACCCGTTTGATGTTTGATGTCTTTATTGTCAATAAAGACGGTTAAAAAACAAAACAAAACATAGAACTGAGTAAAAAAAAAAATACCCGTTTGATGAAATCATTCTAATAGTGCTTCGATCATTTATATTTTTTAAATTAAACTTTATTTGAATTCTTCCAGTAGGTATCTTGAGAGAAAAATAAGCTTGGGTCAGCTAAAGATTTTTTTTTTAAGCGTCTTTATTGACAAATTTAACATATACAAAAATGTTTATACAAACTCTTAAAGAGGATGAACATACAACAGCAAAATACACAGGAGCAAGTTAATTCGGATAGGATAGGATCCCCAGAGGGGAAATTCGGGAATTACAGCAGCACAGACAAGAAAGCTCAAAAATACACATTAAACAGAATAGGTAAGATAAATAAAAATAAAAATAAAAACAGGGGGTATATATAATAATAATAATAATAATAATAATAATAATAATTCAAACATAAATCAAGACTAGGGGGGATTATATATAAAAAATAAATAAATAAAAATCAAACTTTTCCAAAAGAAAACATCAGGCAAATGTAAGCAGACAACAAACTGGAGCAAGGACAAAAAAAAATTCAACAAGGGCCAGAAATCAAAACAACAAGAATTTCGATAAGTCAGCACTAATCTTTCTAGCAATCCTGCTAGATTTCATTTTTTTTTTCAGAGATAAGAACAAATATTTGAAATCATTTAAAAACCAGTCAAAGGAGGTTTTGCTGTTTCTCCACTTACTACAGTGATATGATATTTACTCATGAGTAAAATAACATTTACCATGACAGTAATTGAAGGGTTTAAATATCCATAAAATAGAGAACACGATAAGTATCAAAAGATGGAATATCATTAATTTATAGCGACAACCAACTTCTAATGTTGACCCAAAATCTTTGAGACACAGGACAGAATACAAACAAGTGCTCTAAGGAAAATAGCACATTTACTGTGTAATTTTACATTATTGTATTTTTTTATTTAACTGATGTAAATATGTTTGATTTGATTTTAACTTCCATTTTTATTTTTAATAATTATATTCCCGTCCCCTGTTTTCTGGAGCTGCTGTAATGCACAGATTTCCCCCACGGGGGATTAATAAAGTTTATCTTTACCCCACATAAAGACATTTTTATACTTACTCGTCATGATTTTTTCTTACTGCCTGATCAAAACTAAAACTACAAAATTGCGAATACAGTTTATTTCGCGTTTTATTTTTGACAAACTGCAAATTAACGATACAGTTAAATGGATTACACAAGTAATTTACTCATAATTACAGCATACAACAAGAAACGTCAAAGCTTTTTTCCACACAGGCAATCGCTTGGGATACCTAAACGACGCGTCACGAGGACCCCGCGAACAAGCAGTGGAATTCAAAATTTCAAAACAAACTCAGGATTGTTGTTCTGCGATGAAACTGCCAGTCGGCTGTTAAAAACTTAAACAAGTAACATGGACGCGGATGAAAAGCACGGCTGTAAATCAGTGGAGGTTCCCAAAGCGCCTTCCATCGAGGACTTTATCATTTTGAAGCCCATCAGTCGAGGAGCTTTTGGGAAGGTGTACCTGGCACGGAAGAAATGCAATGCGCGATTATATGCAATTAAGGTGAGCTGGGTTCTGCCTTTGACCGCTGTAAACCATTAAATGCGACATATATTACATGAAAAATGAAGTTAATGTTGTGTTTCTCTCTTTAGGTGATGAAAAAAGCCGACATGGTTGATAAAAACATGACGGGCCAAATGAAAGCAGAAAGAGATGCACTGGCTTTAAGCAAAAGTCCCTTCATTGTTCACCTCTTCTACTCCCTGCAGACATCCACCAAGATCTACCTGGTAACACACAAGACACAAAATAATGATGACCTGCACAAAAAACACTGTTAAAGTTGTTAAATCTATATATATACATTTATTTTCATATTTAATTTACAACCATTTACGACTCTGTCTTTGCACATTTACATTTAATCTTCCTATTTAAGACTATAATGCTTAGTTAAATCCTGGTTGTTTATATTCAGATTCTTAGTTTTGATATTTTTAGTGCTTATTTACTTTGTATTTAATATTATATTATGTTTAGATTTGCTAACATTGTGTTTTTTACTCATATTGTGTGTTTGATAACCTGCTGCTGTAACGCCACAATGTCCCAGTTTGGGATCAATAAAGTAATTCTATTCTATTCTATTCTATTCTATTCTATTTCATGTTGCTAACAGGTTATGGAGTATCTCATCGGTGGGGACGTCAAATCTCTGCTTCACATTTATGGATATTTTGACCAGGATATGTCTGTGAAATACATTTCAGAGGTGGCTCTTGCTTTGGATTACCTTCATCGTCATGGTATAATTCACAGGTAAGTACGACTGTTTCTGTTTAAGTCCTGAAACGTATTTAACTCTGACTAATTTGAGTATTTGGTGGAAATTCTTTGTCAACCTTATATTAACTTGAAGTTTTTTTTTTTTTTAAGGGACTTGAAGCCAGACAACATGCTTTTATCCAACGAAGGACACATAAAGCTTACAGACTTTGGACTCTCTAAAGTCAAGCTTGACAGAGGTATGAACTTTATCAGGGTCAAGCTTAAACCACTTCTATAAAGTTTATAATTTTTTTTACATTTATTTTTATTTAGTACACAGATAAAACATACAACTTCAGGAGATGCTTTTCAGTTACACATGTCCATTTTCTCATGAAATCCATGTCATTTTACCAAACAACTACACATCCATATCCATGCATATATACACACATCCTTTCCTTCATACCTACATTAGATAGACATAAACTTACATGCATATAACCACACATATGGCAGCCTTCACATCCTTTATCAATCCTTTTTCCTTGATTGACTAACAACTTCTGCAAACATATTGGTAATTTGCTATACAATAGACAAGTGCATTTAAAGTTAAATAAATTGAATTAAATTAAAAATATTAAGAGGTGACTAAAGCCCAGGCATTAAAGTTTATCAGTTTTACTTTATAATATCTCTTTGCTCTCTATCAGAGCTGAGTCTTACAGATATCCTCACGACTCCATCCTTGGCTAAACCAAAAAAAGATTACTTCCGCACCCCGGGTCAAGTCCTCTCCTTGATCACCTCCCTTGGATTTGTAAGTGGCTGTATATAATTTTTGCATATAGAGAAATGTCTTCATAAAAATGTACTCACAGTATTGTTCTTAAATAATGACTCTTTCTTCAACACAGAATACGCCTGCAGGAGAAGGCAAGCGTCACTGCAGTGCATCTGCTGTGTCAAGTCCCATGTCTTGTGACAAAATCAAGCCGAAAAGCAACTCCTTTGGTTCTCCGTTAATGAGGACAAAAGATCAGCTGTCCTCTCCAACTCGCTACCCTTGGAAACGGGGTATGTAATTAACCTTGTGGAATCACTGCAACAGCGTTAAATCATTATTAAACTGCCAGTGCATGGAGTATTTTCCTGGTGATATTTTGCCGTGTGTCAAATATACTTACTGTTTTGTTTTCTCTGTCTTCCTAGCATGTAACAGCATTGTGTTTAATTCTCAAAACCTGACTAAAAACCTGACTCCTACTCTAATGAAGACAAGAAGGAGGTTTGAGACTATGAGTGCAGGAAGCACCACGGACACCGAGGGTGGAATCAGTCCACTGTGGGAGTGTGAAGAGGTAGGTCATTTTAAAGCCTCTTACTCAATGGAATCTGTCGTGTTCGGAGTTTATTTTGATTAGTTAGGTCTTTCCGAACAAAAGTGTTACCCCAAATGTCATTAAGCGTCAGATATTTGTGAATAATATGTGACATATATAAATAGCCTCTTCTGTATAAATGCCTCTGTGGTGAAATGTGGAAGCTGTATGATGCATGATGATACTGCACAGACCCTTTTATAAAATTCACAATATGGCAGTGCCATCTCTGGGATATTCTGGCTTCTTCTGGTTCAACAGAAGGAGGCTGAGGCATGCTGTCCATTTGTATATACCGTCTATGATAATGACCTACAACAGATGAAGGCGTAAAGGGAAACTATTGACAAAGGATTGATTGGTTTACTTTCTATTCTAATAATGGAATATGCCTTCAACCACTTCTGATCTTATCCCCTAGTTGTTCTTTTCCTCATAATTTTCTTTATTTTTACATTTCAGAAGGAAAATGAAAAGAAGGCGAGGCATCATTCTGAGTCCAAAAGGGTGGAACAAACCTCTGCATCCACCAGACCAGCCATGTCTGTCACCGGCAATCTGTCCAATAAGACCAACACAGGCCATCTTGAAGAAAAGAAGCCCCACAACACCAACCAGGATCATTTATTCCCATCAGCACTTTCCGTAAAGAGAACATTTTCTGATGTTGAGAAAAGTCCTGAGCCGTTGGAGATCCAAGCTAAAAAGAGTAATTCAAATTATCAGAGATGCTTTGAGATTCCACAGGACGCTGCACGGCTGCACAGTGGCCTAACCGGAACATTTTCCACCATCCAAATCGATGAGTTCGTAGCTTCCACGGAGGGTCGAGCAAGCCGGAGACTGGGTTCCCAAACGCTCCAGTCCCATCAATGTGGCAAAAAGTCTCTTTTGTGACCTGGAGGAGCCGCCAGAGGACGTGTTTGAAGACGGAGCCAAAGACTTGTCCCACTCGAGTTTCACATCCCCGCTTACTGGGAACAGTGACGTCTGCAGGAGCCTGAGCCTCGACTCTGATAGCTCCATGCATGAAACGTCTCTTACCGTTGACAGCCACGCATCTCTAATGCCACACAAGGGTTCAGCCAACCAGACTTCAGCGTCATTTGAGGAGCGAGATGAAAACACGGACTCTTCCATCATTGATTCACTCTACCATGCTACATCTTCTGTTGCTCTTGGAACACCGAAACTGGTTAACCTGGGTCAGAGAGGTGAATCTCAGCGTGCCTTTCTTAACCGGCTCCCTCCTGATCTGTCCGGTGCGGCCCAGTGTCCCTCGTTTCTCAAACCACGAAATGTTGTGGCTTTCCGCAGCTACTGTAGCTCTATTAACCGCTCCAACATGTCCCGACTTAGCATGGGTTCTTTCGACGCTATGGATGTGTCCACCACGGCTTCTTATCACTCTGCATCTGGGAATGCAACGCCAGTGCAGAGGAGACCAAACTCCAGCAGCTCTCTATTTCAGGTGAGTTTACAGAGGGGGGGGGGTTGTCCTTAAAAAGCACAAATTCTCTGAAAAGTGGAGCAGGCAAAAGACAGAAACGGTGGACTTTTCTCATAATTGGGGGGTAGTTGTCGACAGGATAGTTTAATTATTGAAGGGGTGTTTTATTGGAGAATGTCTAAAGTAATCAAAACATTTTTTTTTTTTTGTATTTCCCTTTTCTTTTCAGACTCCTCAGCCCATGTCGACCTCTCACACCCCGTTCAGGACCCCAAAGAGTGTGAGAAGGGGTGCACTGCCTGTTGAGGGTGCAACCATTCTGGGAACCCCTGACTATTTGGCCCCAGAGCTTCTTTTGAGGAAACCACACGGTAAGAAAAACAAATTCACAATCCAAAGCAACAACACAATGGCTGTCCCCCCCCCCCCCTGTTCCCCCTGTATGACCTACAGTCATATGTTATTGCACTGGATTCCTGACACTGTAGTCCTTGTGACGGGTATCTTCTTTGGGTTTCAGAAAGTTATCAGTGTGGTAAGTTTATGTTGATATATATTACCATTTCTGCAAGTGCGCTTGCATGTTCACCCAGCCTGCTAATGTGCCAGAGGAAATGAGCTGATCCTTCTCCCATCTTCCTTTCCCTGCTGGTTCTGGTTCTGCCCCTTGGATTGGTGGTGAATAAACTGTGGGCCTGATCAGAGGGAATGGGGAAGCCTATTTAAAATGTGTGATTCAGCAGCTGGAACAAATGGGATCATCTCTTAACATTTAACTAACACCATTGTTTAAGGTTTGGAAATCAGATTTGTGAAGGCTGATGTGCTTTTAACTGGACACATGTGTTTTTTCTGCTCTATACATCTGTATGTTTTGGGAAGCCATGGCTTTATTTATGACATTTAGCAATCTGAATGCAAAGAGTCATCTGATAATATCTTATTGATTTGACATTATGAAATGGATTCAGATGTAAACAAGCTGATGGCAGTATTTCCTGTCTGCTGCACAATGCTAGCTATTAGCATGATCACTGCTGTTTGGGTTCATGAACACAGGGCTGGCTATAGACATGGGCAATACAGACAGTGGCCTAGGACGCCAGGCTTCAGGGGCGCCGGTGTGAGCCCTGAATATTTTGAATGTAAACCAACTATTGGATTGTCAACTTCCCTGCTCCTCTCCCTCAGCAACGCTGGATTCAGCCTCGCCTTGTCTCTCCTCTCTCTCTCTCTCTCTCTCTCTCTCTCTCTCTGGCTCACTTTACCACGCACTCACTGTTAGAGTATTCAGATCCTTAATCTCACCTATGGCGCCTAAATGGCTAGAGCCAGCCCTGCATGAACAGTCAGTGTGTGACATGAATGATTCTGTGTTCATTTCCTGTCAAATCATTTTACTAGATGGTTTTGATCGTTGTAATTTCAACTCTGCATCTATTGAAAACCAAATTTCTTCTCAAAAACTACAGATCTAGACTCTGGATAATATTGAATTTTGAGTCATAACATGAAGCTATTTTTTTCTGATTAAAGCTTCTGTAGTGAACATTTAATCTCTTCAGTTATTGGTTGTTTTTTGTGTGAATAAATTCCTCCCTCCTCAGTCTAACACAGCCCCTGCTTCTGCCACCACAGTACAAAAGAGCACTCTAACAGTAATCAAAGAGGGGGGAGGGGGGGGAGGGGGGGGGGGCTGTGTTTGGACCCAGCAGCTGAATGAAATGTGACTTTTTTCTTCCCTCCCATCCAGACTACATGGTGGATTGGTGGGCGCTGGGTGTGTGCCTTTTCGAGTTCCTCACCGGTGTGCCGCCTTTCAACGACGAGACGCCTCACCTGGTCTTCCAGAATATTCTCAACAGAGGTTGGTTTGTTTCCTTTAAGATGCTGAATTATGTTCATGTGAATGTCAAAGCTTCAATGGGTAACTTCAGAGCCGGGCTGATTTTGGCGCCCCTCTGTTTAACAACCTGCTAAAAAAACTCAAAGTAGCTCTAGCTCATCTCCATCTTTCTGCATTTGAACTTGATAACAGATAATGCTCATGACATGCTGCTGTTCCATTCAGATATCCCCTGGCCCGAGGAGGACGAGGAACTGTCTGCTAATGCAAGAAATGCCATTGAGATCCTCCTGACTATGGACATGACCAAACGAGCGGGACTTAAGGGTGAGGGTCACTTTTTAAATGCTTTCTCTCTGATGGTTCTAAGAAATCTTTATCTTCTGTCAAATGTTACCTTGATATTTCTGCGAACATTTCCTTTAATTTCCCCCGTTCATTAATCAAAGATTTGGCCTTTTTCAAGGAGCTGTATTCAGTAGATCACCTAATGAAGTGCGTCTAACTGTAGGACACTTGTTGTGTGCATTTTAATCATTTTTGTCTGAACATCCCCCAGAGCTCAAGTGTCACCCGCTGTTCGAAGGCTTGGACTGGGACAACCTGCAGAACCTGCCGATGGCTTTCATACCTCAGCCAGAGGACGAAACCGACACCTCGTACTTTGATGCGAGAAACAACGCTCAGCACATCGCCGTGTCTGGCTTTAGTCTGTAGAGCTGCGAGCATCAGCAGTTTTATCGGAAAAGCACTTGTCAACAACACATTTTTGGTAAAAATTAGAATATCATACTTGTTGATAAATCTTCCAAATCAGATCTTTAACACAACTTAAAATGTGTGGAGTCTGTGGATTCGTATCGATTTTCTCTTCAGTGTTGTAACAGTTTTAAAAAAAATGTTTTACCTGTTGTGCAATCACGTGTCATAAGAGCCAGAATGAAGCTGAATCTGTTGACCGATTTGTTACAGTAGTTAGGTTTGCAGTACATCTTTTAAATCGGACTACTACCGTATTATAAGTCTCTTACTCTACGTCCTTAGCCAGGTCGTTTCTACCACTGCTGCTTTAGCTCATAATAGGTTTGATTTCTGTGTTGTTATGGTGTTATACTGGTTAAAGACTAAATAAATATGTTCTATGTTCATGTACATGTGGCACTCTTAAGGACTACAATACTGCTGAACTAAAACATGCTAATATATTCATTCATGTATTTTATATGTAAGTCTTGTTCGTAATATTTTGTGTCATTGTTTTAAGACAACAGTAGGTACTTGGTATTGAAACTGGTCTGGGTTTGGATGCTTTTATGTCATTTCTATTTGTAACTTCGATGTCTATTTTCCACACTACTAGTTTTTTTTTTTTAAAGATAAGTGCTCCTCACTGCTTGTGTGATTTTTATCTTGTTTATTCTAAGAAAAAAGTGAAAAACAAATAAAAATCAGTTTGTAACCTGATGTATGTTGTGCCTTTTAATGGTATATAATCAAATCTCACAGTATTGGGTTGGTGTTGTAGTGGGGGAAGGGACTGGCTGCGCAGAGCCCCGATCAAGGGAGATGTCCTGGGTATTATTATTTAAGGCAGGACTTAAAAAACATCAGGTGATTGAACTACTATGATATTCAGTGAGTAAAGAAGGAAAGTAAACTTAGAACTGCTGAGAATTTCCATGAAAATGTTCGGAAATTGTCACGGAATAGAAAAACTGAAGAAGTTATGTGGACATTTTCATGAAGTTATGGGATTTTTATATTAAGGAACATTTAACTTCTTAGAGCTTACTGACCAGACTGTCATATGCTGCGGCACGAGTGGACCAGACCGACACGAGTGAACAAGAATAGCATATGCACAAGTGGACCAGACCGGCATATGCCACTCGTGTTGCGGCATATGCCACTTAAATGCGGCCAGTGATGCGACATATGCCACTTGTGTTGCGGCATATGCCACGGCATTGGCCACTCCTTTGTTTTGTGCTAACAAAACCAAACAGGAAGTCCACCATATATATATATATATATATTTTTTTTTTAAATAATGGCCCCAATTTTGCGTTTCACATTCACTATTTGAACATACTTCTCCGAGGCCCCGTTCATCGCCACAGCGTCAGTGTGTTCAAGACATGAAGAAGCGAAACCAAGATTCTACTTCCTCAAAGGTCGGACCAAATGCGGAGCTTCGCCTCTCTACAGACGTACTTTCCAAAACTGTTGAATGATTTGTTTTAATGAAGCACACAGGTTGAAATGCTTTATGAAAACTTTATTTGAGGCTTGGATTATCACATGCGAACTCCTCTCTACCACAGGCAGAGAGGGAGACGAAGCCTTAGTATGTTTCAGTAGAAAGTTATACTTTTTATTTTTTTTAATAAAACATAATGGCTCTGGCAAATTAGTGCTATTGCAGAAGCAGACCTTTTGTAAATATGATATAATATTCTATATTCATTCATGGGAATGCAATTAAAATACTGCATTATAATCTGAACTGTACATCTATAGTTACAATTCATGTAGATCGCACTGCTTTACGTGTTAACATCTCATGATTACTATCGCTCACTTACACACAAAAATATTTCAACAATATTCTTACAAACATATTACGTCACACGTCAAAATTATACAATATAGAAAAACAGCGTAAACAACACAGACGATGACAAGAGCGTTAATGATCACACAGCTGAGCGGAAAATCAGGTCGTCAGAGATTCTCACTTCCTCATGGTTCACTAAATGGTACAATGGATGTTAATTTGGTCCGGCACTGGAACAGTTCTGCTACAGTATGTGAATGTAAAAAAAAAAAACCTTCTAATGCCACCTACAGTATGGATGATGTACCTTGTGATGTCGAGGCACTTCTTCTATTCGGATAACAACGAAGTGGAGACTCGGACCACGTTCAAGTAAAGCACACACAGATATGACGAGAAACCTGCTCTAACTTAAATTCACAACATTTAGCGCTCGCTTTAAACATAAACCTCATTTATACAGCGGAAATCTGGCCAGCTATGCCTTCATCAAAACTGTTCCTAAAAGCAATAAATATTAACTTATTCTCAGAATTTTAAAGAATCGCAACTTATCAATATATTACATTCAATCCAAACTACAGTTATTACAACATTTCTTTTTTTTTTTTTTTAGCAGCATCACCTGGGCAACCAATGACAGTGAATTGTGAAAACGTCAAATCACATCAAGCGCTACGCTCCAAAAAAAAAATTAAACGTTTCGGGCCCTTCTTTGTGCAACAAAGCCTTAGTTATGGGAATCATTTGAGAAGCTACCGTTTCTTGGTTTTCTAAAACACGCTGACAACTTCCCATCTGTACGTTTTCCCCTCGCATCACCAAAGCATTTCTTACAGCGAAAAAACCTTTTCCTCTAACAGTGGTACCATCTTAAAGAAAAGGTTGTATAACCAAAGGCTGCAAGCCCGTACATTCATGTTTCTATTTGATTCCACGTCCACAGTACGACACACTCCAGAGATATCCTCCCGCTCGTTGATTACTTTAGACGCCTTCTTCATAGTGCAAAGCAAATTACTGGGCTGTGGTTTGAAGCGGGGGAGGGGGGGGGGGTTTCAGCCATAAGAAACCCAAACCAAAGACATTATGATGACTCATCTTCATCATCTATGCCAATACGGAGGTTCAGTTGATTCTTCTGTGAGAGAAGCAGATATTAAGGGGTTAAATTGAGTTTTGCCTTTACAACGTTTCAAGTTCAAGTTGATTTTTTTTTTTTTTCCCAGAAAAAGATTACCTTCTCCTCCTCTGCAGGTATAGGCGAATTAGCCACTGAACAACGAAAGGCCATATGACAGCAAAGGCCAAACTGGTCGGAGAAATGTCAAAAGGCCACCAGGATGGTTTCTAGGCAACGAGAGGATAAACATCACAACATTATTTTGACTGATAAACCTCATAAAGATAAACTGAGAGGAAGAAACGTCTTCTAAAGTGGTTACCTGTCTCTTCTTGTTCACTGGGGGAGGGGCATACGTTGGAGACAGGGACATCGATCTCGCCTGCATGAAGAATAAAAAAACAAAATTAAAAAAAAGTCAATAAACTTTGCTCAAATGAAAAAGAGAGTATCTGATAGTTTCAGAGGTGAACTGAAACGTGTTGTTTATAGTCTCAAAGTGCAAACCTCTTATCTCCTCGACTGAAAAGCTCTGACTACACCCTGAAATGAGAACTCAGCACAATTTTTACACTTAATTGTCTAACCACCGTGTTGAGTTTGTTGGACTGATATGAGAATAAAACATGTAAGAAGCTCAAACAAGCATGTCTGACTTTTTCTTTTTGTTTGAGAAATGACTGAAAAATGTATTATACAGGTTTTGTTGATCATTTTCTTCTGTTTGAAGAATCCATGCAGCTCTGTGATCTTTGTATTGTTATGTCTGAATCAAACCAGTGGCCTACTAAAACGTCCAATCACGGCCGCTCAGTCAACCCTGATACCTTTCTGTAGAGATTTAGATTTCTCTTTGCTCTGTCACCTTTTACTAAGTGGGTGAAAAAAAAATAAATCCCCCTCCCATGTACCGGTAATTCTTCTCCCTGAAACTTAGGAGTGAGCGAACAGACTGTCTGACCTGGCTGGCAGTCAGAGCCTCCAGGGTGTGAAGCCTCTCCAGGACGCTCTGCATGTCCTCCTGCAGTCGAGCCAGCGCCACCACTATCTGCTCGTTCAGGCTCCCTACGGGCGTCACCGCTCCGCCTCTTCGGCTCCCATCCCCGTCTCCGCTGCTGTACATGGGCACCAGAGAGCCAGAGCCCAGACCTGGAGACCTGGAGCCTTTTAGAAGAAAAAAAAACAAACACTTTAAAGTATGAGACTTTTTCTATCATCCAGTAAACTGCTTATCATTTTTTTTTTTTTGAAAGAGTCTTTATCAGGACTTTCTTACCCTTTCCTCTTCTGACCAAAGAGCTGTCGGGCATGCCCGCATTCAGCATCTGTCTCTGTGATATTGTTCCGCTGTTGTCTCCGTCTTCTCCTCCACACCTGACGACCTGAGGCGGATCGTGAGTCTCCTCCTGGAGCTCCCTCGTCACCTCCGGCTCGTCCAGCGGTGTCAGGATGTGGCTCTCCTCTTCATCCAGCTCGTCCAGAGAGCGGTTATGCTCCGAGTTCTGCAGACGAGGCCCGCAATGCACACATTAGGATGAAACAACACCTCATTGTGGGACCGAGCGCTACAACCAATCTACTGTAAAAGATGATTACGAGTTGGTAACTTGCCTCCTCCTGGCCGAACTGGTCCACAGAGTCACAGTAGACTTCACTGTCTGAGTCACTGGCAAGGTGACCGGGGCCGGACACATCTAAACCCGGATCTGAGATCAGGTGAAAATCAGAAAGAAGAAGCTCAGCGATGCATCGTAAAAACTCGACTGAACCATTCTGCACTTAGACGGAGGAAGAAAGCTCTCCCTAAACTTTGAGGCTGTGTGTGTTCTCTTCTCACAAAGCTTTTAATTAAGTGCATTCAAACTTCTCCAGGAGCGACGGATGTGTTAAGATTCAGCGTCTGAAACATTGCTTGCAGCTCTGGGAAACACAGCTTAGCAGATTAACTGATCACAAGGTGCACTCGCACGCAGGCGCCCCTTCTTTGGAGTCGAGAAAAAGCGTGAAACGTCGCGTCCCCTTACCCGCGTGGTGACCGTTGAGTACAGGTTCACCCTCCTGCGACTCGTCAGTGCTCAGAGCGGTCCTGGAATGACTCCCATTTGTTAGATGGGCGCCCCCGTTGGCCACTTTACCGTTGGACAGGGGTGCTTTGTGTCTCCTCGCTGCACCTTTCTTCTTTGGCTGCGACGCTGCTGATTTCTTGTCTGGAATCAAAATTGTAGAAAAAAAAAAAGGAAAACTCGGTGAAGTTAAAGCGACAGGTGTGTGTTGTATTTGGCATCACTGTGTACACACAGTTAACTCTAATCTCTACGCTTATTGTGTCCTGTACATGCATAAGTATGGCTTTCCTTTAACACAAAAACAAAAATCTGATCTGCTTTCTTTGAACAGTTTTTACATATACCACCTTTTGTGAATGTTTGCCATATAAAATGTGAAAAAGGCTACTTGAGCAGCGTGCTGTAAATCAGTTCATCTGACCCCTACGCCCCAGGAGTGATATCAGGCATTAAATTAACTGCACAGAAATACTTCACTGCTTTAGTGGGTCATAAAGAGGCATCCGTATTCATGTCAGTCTGTTACATAAGCAGTTAGAAACTCCTTACTGGTGCTTTAAGTTTTGTTTTTCCTCCTGTTTTAAAATGTCAGGACACATCTGTTATTTTCTTCACCTTTTCTGACCTCCCTTATTGCAACTTCCTCTTCTTCTTCGTCTTCTTCTTCGTCCTCTTCCTCTTCTTCTTCTTCACCTTCCTCCTCTTGAGCCTCATCCTCCGACCTCTCCCTCACTTCCTTTGATTTGAGTCTGCAGGGCGAGTCGGCAGGGTGCCGTTCATTTCCATGGTCCTGATGATGCTTTTTGTGACGCTCTTTGATGGCATTGAATTCAGCATCGTACCGAAGCCTGAGCAACAAGAGATATTTGTTGCAATGACAGCAGCGGACTCCATCAGTGTTAATGGTATCATTTCAGAAAATTAAACAGTTTTGCATAAGGGTTTAGAGGCACAGACTTCACTAAAAGGGATGACTCACTTATCTAATGTACAGGCACGATAACGCCAAACACCTTAGTCTATCTGAATCAATCAAAATGTTGATTACTGATGGTAAAGAAACCTTTAAAGTGCAAACCTCAACTTCATCAACACGTCTAATAAGCGCTAAAGGTATCTAAGCTACAACCAGGGCTGTAACCAGGGTTTAGAAAATAGTGAGGTCCAGAATTTTGAATATTAATGTTTCCTATTCAAGGCATTTCCGGGCACGCAAAATTCATGCCTTCAAAAGCAATCTAAGCTAAACTACAACGACAACTCACACACATTTACTTCCTGTTTGTAAAGTAATCACGAGCAGTTTTTTTCCCCCCCAACAACCTCGCGGTGGGTGCATGTTGTGAAGGCGGCCACCGCGACTTCAAAATTGCATTTCTGTATAAATATTTTCAAAGTAAAAGCCATCTAGTGCTTCATAAATAAACTAAAAAAAAGTAGAAGTAAAAAAAGATTGCTGTCTTGTTTTTGAAAAAAAAAAGAGACTGCGGTCCAGACCTCGATGTCCTCATAGCTGGTTACTGCCAACACACAACACCAGACCAACACACGACTATACTATACTATACACACAAGAATCTAATATTTACACGTTGGTGTACTTGCCTTCCAGTTGCCTAGCAAACATTGTCAAACGGGCTGAGCATCAGACAAAGAGGCAAATCATAAAGAGATTAAGCTCTGCATGCTCCCTTTTTTTCACCTCCCAAACAAAGACTGAGAGTCACACCTGGTGACTCAAACCAACCTGTGCTCAGGTCAGATATCTGTGAGATCTTCTTCTTCTCGTCAATCAGCTCATAGAACGGGCCGAGCACGCGCAGGAGCTCCTCCACCTCGACCGTCATGGGCATCCCCTCCAGGATCTACATGTAGGTACAATAGTGGTGTTTATCACACTACATACAGGTAGTGTTCATGTGTAATAAACCTGTTATTCTGAGAGCTGAGAACACCTACCAGCTTCATTTCATCGACGTAGGCCGTCATTGCTTCTTCTTTTGACATATCTCCAAGAGAACTCCACGCATCCCTGAGAAGACAAAATAAAAAAACGGCTCAATAAATCATTTATGTAGGGGGGGAAAGTCCTGCTAAGGGTTGAAGAATTCCTATCATCAGCTTTTTTTTTTTTTTTTCTCAAATACATCTGCGCCAATTTCCACCTCCTGTCAACATCCCGGTTCAATCAAGGCCGACGTATTCTCTGTGAGCTGTGGGTCAAACGTTTATGAGTAACTAGAGCCGTTTCCAAAAAACGACTTCTTTTTATGATTCCTGGACTGTTTTCTTTATCTGCGACCATGAGAGACGCTTGTCCCGCTTAGTGGGTAAGAGGTTACATTCCAAGTAGAGACCGGAGATCACCTCACACAACTTGAGACCACAAAGGGGGGGGGATGGGGGTTGGAGAAGATTCTGCTTCATTTTGCTTTGCAGAGTGGGGTCAAAGTGGACAACAAGTGAACATGTTGTGCAATGTGCACAAGTCAAATACTGTTGTGATTTTAGTCGTCATGGTTTCTGCACAGTCACATCTCTCGACAAGCCTTGAAGACTTTTGCTGGTCCGCTTTACCCTCAAGGGGAAACTGTTCTTCAAAGTGACATAACCAAAGAGGACAAATAGTGAACTCAAAAAACAAAACAAAAACATAACTGTACAAGAATACTGTATAAATTGAGGAGGGCGGGGAGGGCGGCGGGGGGGGACAAGGGGGCGGGTACTTTTACCATTTCGCTTTGCCAACTGCATCCCAGAAGCCAGGCCGCGGTATACTGCACGCTCCCACAGTGGCTTGTTTGTAGTAACTGTAGAACTTCAGCATCATGTCATTGGAGGGCTGAAAGGGACCTGAGAAAGAAACGCACACGGGGGGGGGAAGAAGATTTCTTAGCACTTCAAAATGTTCAAGGTAGAATATTGTTTTTCAACCTTGCACACATCTTATCTGTGAAGGCTCTGAGACAAGACAGACTTTTAAAAAAAAAAAAAAGTGACAGCCCCTGTTACTGTGCATTAAGTTGCACGCTGCTGACAGGGAGGGGGAGCTGGCTTGTGTGTACACACTGCTGCTTGGTAAAGTGGATTAAGCCTTTTTAAGTCCGGGGATAAGATCCAGGGCAGACCAAGCTGTTCCACCTGCACCTGCCTCCAAAAAAAGAAGTCTGACACAGTTCCGTTTGGACACCTGAACAGGTGAAATGGTTAAAGTGGCCTGAATGACACTCACCATCTGGAGGTAAACTCTTGATCACTTTGACGGCGGCATCGAACCTCAGCTGGATCAGACGACTCTCTTCTTCCCCTGTTACACTCTGGACCTCCATTGTGACACACTGAGACTTGTCAACAACACACAAACCTGCAGACAGCACGTAAACACAACATTACAAGATGACACAACACACCAACCCCCTCTGTCTTCTTCTACGTGACACTTTTCAATCCCACTGCGACCAGCTAAACTTGCAAGTTACTGTTTAATGTATGATATGGTGACCAGTAGGAGGAGGTTGAGTCGTTTGTGTATGTAGGACACACTCTCCAATGTGCGACACACACTCTAAATAAACAGATATGTGTGTTGCATAACATCTACACACGATGTAAACATTCAAAACAAATCAACTCACCGTGAGAGGTCTATCTGTTTGTCACAATGCGACCTGTCTTTAGCCCCCGACCAGACGCCATGAACAATAATGATGAAGCTAGTCACGGCTGCATTATGGGAATTGTAGTTTTTCCACCGGATATTGACATTTCCTACATGTTCCACAATCCTCCTCGTCTGCGAAAATGTTTTGTAGTTTCAAGAGCTACAAACTGTTTTCGCAAGAGAACTACATTTGTGTTCCGGATGCATTTAAAAAGTTAAAAAGGTTAAATATATATTTTTTAAAGTGTTGACTCCAAAGCAGATTTAAAAATTGTATCGGTTGTAGCGACAGTTAAGGGGGGGAAACTACATGTACCATAATGCTCTTGTCAAAATCCAGGGAAGATTTTTTTTTCTTCTGTAGGAATGGTGATAGGTACCAGGATGTGAAAAGTAAGAGGTCTCACTCTGTCCTCATTTACGAGCAACACAAGACGCTGTTAAATATTATTATTATTATATTATAACGTGTTTTACCACCTCAAAACCGTCATCAACCCCCAGTTGTTAAATGCTTCATAACTAATATCTAAAAGGAAAGAAAATTAATTCAGAATGTACTGACAAAAAATAAACTTTTTCTATGCATCCCATTTGAAAGACTATGTCACTAAAAATACACAAGACAAATGAAACCACACTAAAATCATGAATTCATGAAACATTAAATAATTTAAGTTGTTGATTCAACACAATAATACATTTTTAAATATCTATATATACAGTAGGCTATATATATATATATATATATATATATATATATATATATATATATATATATATTAACAGGTAAGAACAACATGGCTTGGCTTAACCAACTTCCAGTCAGCTATGTAACCTGTCAACACCATCTTCAAGTGTCACTAAAAAATAATTACTGACTAGGGGTCAATGGTTCTTAAACTTTCTTATGTCAAGGACCCTTTGAATTACAGGATTTAAAACAGACACCCCTAATGTCCAACATTTGTCCCCCATCTGATAGGATTTTTGCAGGTAGCTATGTTATTACAGAGAGTGAATAAGCCGTGAATGAAAGTGTCAGTCAGTCAGTCAGTCAGTAATTGTGTGAACTTTGGATTTATATATAGTATAAAAAAATGTGGCAGGTTACTGGGATGTTGTGGTGGGAAACACGCACCACAATGGATAAAGTGTAAGTAGCTGGTAGGTGTTGATTGTTTAAAATTCAAACAATTCAAACTTTGAATCATACGGGCTTTTAAAATAAGATAAGATGAGATAAGATAATCCTTTATTTATCCCACAATGGGGAAATTTACATTGTTACAGCAGCAAAGAGCAAAGATTGCAAACAAAAAGGGAACACTGTACAATTTAAATAATAAAAAAAGAGAAATAAAGAATGTACAAAAAAATAGATTTAAAAAAACAAAACAATAGATCAGCTATTTGACAAAAGTGTAGTCCGTAATATTCAGTGTAACACAGAAATGCACACAGTGGATGGTTAAACATAATATAACATTAATATAACATTATTATTGCACAGAGTCAGAGTGACTCAGAGTGAATTGTGTGTGTGTGTGTTTTGTGTGTGTTTTGTGATCTACTGGGAGCAGGCTTGGTTAAACAGTATCTTTAAAGTATCTTTTGTTGTTCTGTCACCCCAATCAAGTTAAATATGAAATAGTGCATAACAAAAGACGGATCAGCTTGACAAATTATTATTTTTCTCCCAACACAAAATAACAACGTTTGCCAAACAAAACCCTGGTCCCGCTTTAAAAAAAAAAAAAAAACACCGAGTGGCGCCTCCTCCCTAACACAAACGATCTTTGGGGGTTGAGTCTACGCCAAAGCGAGGGCAGGAATCCCACAATAGCGAGCAGAGGATTTTTTTTTTTTTTTTTTTTTTCTCGACTCAGAGCTCGGGCTGGTGGCTGTTTCAATCAAAGGGAAGGCAGAGAGAGGGATAAGGGAGGCTCTGCGGGGTGAGATGTGAAGATGGCAGAGCTACAAATGTTGTTAGAGGAAGAGATTCCGGCCGGCAAAAGAGCGCTTGTGGAGAGTTACCAAAACCTGACCAGAGTCGCGGACTACTGTGAGAACAATTATGTCCAGGTAAGTGAGTTAGCCTCCCCGTGTTGCATTCAAGCTCCTTGTTTTTTTTTGTCGCGGAAAGCTCGGGATTTGAATGGTTGTTGGGACAGGAAATGTGGATAAAGAAACTGCAGGGCTCGGTTATGGAATAAAAACTATCCGTCCCGAAATCTTTGTTGTAACAGTGCGATGCTTTCACTTACCGTGGGAAATTCTACAATCCTTTTTTTTAATCTGTTTGGACAAGAACATTTATATTCGGTTTACACAGAGGGTGTGTCTACTTTTTTATTATTACACTAGGTCAAAACTGCTTCCCACTCTCACTGCTGACAAGAAGGCCTGTTGGGTTAACAGCAGCTTGCAGAACAAGTTTTACAGCTGATTTATTTTCATTTATATTGAAAAGTTACTGCAGTTTTTTTTTTTTTTTGCCGTAATGGATGCTGACACAGCTTTTAAAAACATGTAACAGAAGAGTGTGGAAATAAATGTCAAGCTAAAATCCACAACATTAATATTAAAGTAACACTGTAGTCCATTACATTCCACAAGGTCATTAAACTCACCATTTAATACCGCAGAAACGGGTTCAACTCCCCATTGGGATACAACAGCAATATTGCATTATTGAAGGTGTACATTATGGGCTTGTAAGCACTCAGTACAGCAGATATATTGCTAGTGCATGGCTTTTTATTGTTGCTGCATTCTTTTTTTTGAAAGCCCTAAATGATTTAAAGTGCAACACTAAACTGGATGCATGGAAATGTGCAGGAGGCTGCTTGTTTTTTTTAGGCTAAATGGGGAGAAGAGATTATTCAAGGTAATTCTTCTGCAGCTGTGAGACTCAGGGAGGAATGTAAAGCGATGGTTGGTTGGTCAATAAATGTTGGATTGTATTGATTTTTCTCTCCCTGGACTTATTCATGGTTTAATCTCAACAGGCCCCCCTTCTTCTTCTTCATAAAGTAGTTCATTTTTTCTGTTGTTGTCCTTTTTTTAAAGCTTGTTTTGAAGTAAATATGTTTTTTTTTTAAATATGGTGTCATGCTGATATCAGGTGGCTTCCTCTTGTTTAATTTTGGCTTGATGATGCTTGTGGTTTTGCCACCACTTAAAAGAGCTCTCTCTGTATGAGAAGAGCTTGAGTGACAGCTGAAGCAGCGGCGGCAGCAGCAGTGGTGAGAAAATATTTTCAGCAGGAAGACGAGCCACCATATCAGCCAGAGACAGAGGGTGTGTCCGTTCCAGCTGTACTCCCCTGAGGGACTCCCTGTAATTTTGTCCTCGGATGAAGCTTCGTGCCACTTGTAGCAAACACGAGAACACAGGAAGGCTGTCATCTTTGCCCCCAAGAGGACTGGAATGAATTCAGCGACCTTAAAGTTGATTTAGTTATATTTTAGTTGCAGAGAGATTACGTACTGTGGACCTGAATGTGGGACCTTTTGTTGATTTTGTTTTGTTGAGCACAGTGAGCTCCAGAGGCTCACATAGAGAAACTTATTCTACATCGTCTTCATCTAGTGATGAACATCAGAGAGTAGGAACAAGACAGGCGAGGGAGAGGAGGAAACGACGTCAGTGAGTGCAAACAAACGGCTTTAAGTCCGATCAGACACTCAGGTGCTGACAGGCAGAGCACCGGGACACATCCTGATTATTCATCATGAAGATGTTTTATTTTATAAGTAGGAACAGTGAGCCGGTAATTTGACTTTCATCATGGCTTAATACTTTGCAGCACCACTGTATTTGGAACCAGATGTGCACGTTCTGAAGAATACTGAAATCTTTTTGCACACTTTTATCCTGAAATGTTTCTCTCTTTCCCGCTGAGGTAATAAGATGATTCTGTTCTTCAGCATGGTCCACCTACAAACACTGACAGAAATATACCCTGTGAAGTACACCGGAAACAAACACCTGTCAGATTTTTTTGGTTTATCTGGAACATAAGTTTTTGAGAAGTTAGATCTATTCTCAAAGAAAGATGCACTGATTGGATTTAGCGCTGAAACCTTGGCTTCAACTTATTTGTGTCAGGGCAGTACTGACATGTCACTTCCTGTTTTTGCTCATAATGAGCTGATACTTTCTCACTTCCTAAATTTGGCCCGTTTCAATAGATTATAAGAATTGACTTGTGTGGGTGTTGGTCATATAAACAAATATATGTTTGTAGCATCAAAACAATGTCTTAAGCTGTTTTCACACATGCACTCCTGAAAATTTCTAGAAAATTTCAGCCTGTCTGCCCCTGAAATCTTTCTGACTGGTTCACACATGCACCTCACAGCGGGAGGAAATCACTGTCGGACTGGGGGGAGGAGGGGGGGGGGGGGGGGGGGGGGGTGGATGAAGCAACAGAGTTCGACGCTATATCACAAATCAATGCTACATGTAGTTTGGCAAATGTACAGAAAACACGATGAAGCCGTTTCATTACGTTTACAGAGATTGCACTTCAACGCCTGTTACTGGATATAAAAGATTCCTCCCACTCACTTGCGGTGATTCTTGTCCTGAATATTTCCTCATACATCTACTTTATGTAGAGAAAATGTACACGGGGGATGGCAGGAAACAAATCCGGGTAAAGTCAGAGTGAATAACGTTTCAGTTTTCACACGTAACATACAATAAGCTCACCCTGAAAATTTCCAGATGCTTTCAGGAGTGTGTGAAAGCACCACGAGCAGCTCCGAGTACCTGCTCTGATTTAGAGTCTCATCCTGTTCACTGCTTATTCGCAATATTTCAGAAAATCCCTGAAATATAAATCCAGAGTCTGATCATCTTTAGACACAATCATCACATCACACTAAGAATAATTCCTTCATTACATTGACTGTTTCGAGCACGACATTAAACACATTTGAACTTTGGCTCTTTTTGTTAAACGAGAAAAAGATGAACGCTGTGCAGGTATCTCATCAGCACAAGGTGTTTAAAACAATACTACGCTCTTTTTGTTGAGCCCAACAACAAGCCGTGAGAAGTATTGCTGTCATGTTGACGTCAGAAAAGGTTATTTCGACAGCAGTACATTTATAATCGAAGTATTTTGTGTGTTTTTGTTAGATTTTTGCGATTGGTAAACAGACAAGGCTTCTAAAAATTGTATGTGGATGATGTAATATCACAACTGTCCCAATAGGATGTGAAAAGATTAAGAAAATCGATCTCTGTGTTTATTCTTTGAAAAGTTACGTTTTTACCATTTTTGAAAAGTTGCGTTTCATGCGTCTGACCGATTTTGCATTTCTCTCCTTTTATATATTAGCAAACACCTTTAGGTTAAAGCGCTGACGTTTAGGAGAAGAAGAAAAAAAATCTGGATTTTTAAGCTGTTCAGCTCACGTCAGAGCGAGCGTCAGACGAACAGCGTACTTTTCATAAGCCCTCCCTGTCTGCTGGAGATATACACACTTACACACACACACACTTCAAACTGTGGCACTTACACATCGACATGCCTCAGCTTGAATCAGCTCGTCTTCTCAGCACTCCTCCTCCCCTCACATTTCTCTCTCTCTCTCTCTCTCTCTCTCTCTCTCTCTCTCTCTCTCTCTCTCTCTCTCTCTTTGTGCTGTTGTTCACTGAGGACTGTTTGCAGCTCAGCAGGCTGAAGCAGATGGTGAAAGCTGCGTCTGAACAAGGACACATCACTGCCCCACTTTCTCAACTTCATGGTGACTTTTGTTCATCCTAGGGAGTGTTTTCAGCAGCGTGTGTGTGTGTGTGTGTGTGTGTGTGTGTGTATCCTATATGACACACTGACAGGACAGGGGTTATGTTTCCTGTTTGCCCTGCTGGCTCCGAGGACTTTGGCTCCCTGGAAATGCCTTCTCTCCATGTCAGGAAGTGGCTTTTATAACCCAGCCAGAAACACACCCTGTCACATTAGGACCCGTGCAAAGAGATTATTCTGATAAATAATGGATTTAGTGTTTAAAACAATAATCATGAATGCCCCCCCCCCCCGGAAATAACTTCTTCTGTATTGTTGTGAGCGAGTCGCAGCAGTCGGTTTGACCTCGGGGACAAGGACGCACTCGCTGTATGCAAAGTGGGCCACCTGGCCGTGTTGGCAGGACTCACTGACGGAGAGCGCTGCTTTGTTAAATAGAGTAACACAACACTCAGGGTTTATTAGCTGTGCTCAGCTTGTGTTTGATATTTGTAAACCTTTGAATTCTTCATAGCTGACAAAGAAATGCAGCAAATCCTGACCGTTGGGGGAACTGGTAACATCGTGTGTTTGCCATTTTGCTTGAAAAACGGCTTTTTAAAATGAGAGAAATATTTTGTTTGCGTTCATTTCTCAGGAGACAAAACATGATGTAAGAATGACTCTGGAAACCGAAGTTGCAGCAACACAGTCCATGACAGTCCATATATCAGTCACTTTAATGAATATATCCACGGTATCAATGGAGGAGCAGAAAACCAGAGTAGGAAGCAGTTTCACTTCGTGCATGAAGAGCCATCACTCTCGTCCACTGGAGCCGTTTTCACATACACAAATGTCTATAAAAATTTCAGGAAGGCGTCCCCTGGAGTTTTTCTGAGTTGATTGTTCAAACATGCGCTCACAGCGGGGAGACTTTCACACTGTTGGATTGGAGGGGATGGTCTCAGGAGGCAGGACATGACGTCCAAAAAAAGAACGATGCATAAACGGTGGATATAGAGCAACACGGTCTGCCGCTATGATGAAAGTATTTGGCTTTCTATCAGAGCTACTGCTAGTTCAACATGTTCAAAGTATCAACAAAGGAGCCCACACACAACCAGGACCCACGTTGCTGTCAAACGTACATTTTAACTGTCACAAAAATCCCAAAAGAGGAGGCGTACACACTTGTTCATAACAAACGAACAAAAGTGTTTCATTTGGATTTTAATTAATATGTGCAAATCTAACTTTGACAGCCTCAGAGGCGACAGCATCACGCCCCCTTTGAGAGCTCTGACCCAAACCAAACCAGTGGTACCTTTTAATACACTTCTGA